AATGGAGGAGGAGGGTAGACCAGCGTAAACTCAAGGCCCATCCACGATATTGCAATAGACCCTCCCTCCGAGTTCCCTCTTCATGAGCCCCCACCTAATGTTCCATCGAGGGCAATGCCCCGTTGGAAGTCAACCGTTGGAAAACCTGGGACCGTGCCAAAACACCATGCCTGGGACTTCCACGCCGCGGATCACCACCACTGTATCGACTTAACGACTCCTGGAGCTTCAGCACCGCAAATCAGTGTGACTGTTGCGCCCAGACGTTCCGACATCCTGTCTAACGTACTTTCTGGGACGGTCACCATGAGAACCCTTGAAACTGCTGCGGACACTGAAGACGAATACGCGCGGCGCTAAGGCGATAACCACATTTTGAAAATGAACCCACCGGCATCCGTGGAAATCTTGCAAAACGTCCAAGTCGAAAGCGTGCGGCGCTAAGGCGAGAACCACATTTTGAAAAGAGACCGTCCTCCATCTGTGAAGCTCTTGCGTTTTTTGCAAAACATTTGTTCGGGGCGCGAATGCGAGAGCAACATTTTGAAAACGGGCCGCGTTCCATCTTGTAGCTCTGGTCGCGGCGCAAAAGCGAGAGCCGCATTTTGAAAACGGCCCGCCCTCCATGCGCGAAAATCTTGCGACTGTTTAGGACGGGTGTGCGCGGTGCTAGGGCGAGAGCCGCATTCTGCTGCGCTGACGCCCCAGACGGCCTTCCAAGGGCCACCGCGGGGGCCAGAGGGCCCAGAAACCATCAGACAGCCTCCCCCTCCCTCTCCTGCTGCGTCTCGCCGTCGATCCTCCCTGACCGAGGACCCAAGGCTTAGACCATGTCTGCATCCTGTCATTGCCTCTGGGGGCCTCCAGGGGCCTTCAGGCCCTCCACAGGCAAGATCTGGGGCGGCAGCCCCAGAAAATCATCGAAATCTGGTGGCTCGTCCGTCGAACTTAGCAGTCTCTGCGGCCTGGGGTTTGGGCCTGCTTGAATGCTGGCCCTTGGCTGGCCGTGCCCACTCTGCCTCCCCGCCCCGCGCGCAGGAAAGGGGGAGAAGAAGGAGAGGGTCCAGGATACACCCCCGGCCACCTTTGCTATATGATGGGCGGCGCACGGGCGGGGAAACACCAGCCCTCGGCAGCCTGAGCCGAGGAATGGCTGATGACGACGGATCCCGCGAGGAGGGAGTCAACTGGGATGTGCGGGAGACACTTGCAGATGCGCCAGCGATGCTTCAACACACCCTCCCGTCCCAAGTCCCCTCCCCAGTCGCGTCCCTAAACCCTACAGGTGATCCTCCCTCTCCACTACGAAGTACTCCACTACGGTGCTCTCCACTAGGGCGTGCCACAGTTGATCGACAGCACCGCTCCGAAGGCGCGAGGCGCCCAAGGCGGAAGCGACATTTTGAAAAACGATCCAGCCTCGATCGGGGCATGCTGGAAACATTTGTGGGGCGCATGTCGGGCCGCGCACAACGAGTGATCCTGGGCCACGGCGACCTCCGGCGCGCGGCTACAGGGGGCCGCGGGGGGTGGGAGGGGGCGGGGGGGGGGCAGCTCCAGGCGCGCAAGCCAATTCCGTGGCGACCCCCCTGGGCCCACACCCAGAGGTCTCTCCGAAAGCGGGGATGGCGATGGCGACGCTTGCCGAATGCCGAGCGCGCTCCTCGCTCGTGACCGTGGCGCTGGCCTCGCCCAGCGCTTTGGCGAACCAGGCGCGCACGCCGATGCTGTGGTGATCCCCCTGGGTCCGCCTCGGAGGTCATTCCACACACGGCCCACTCCTACGCGCACGGCCGAGGTGTGCACGGCGCGAAAGCGAGACCGACGCTGCAGGGGCGCGCAGGCCACTGCTGTGGGGATCATTACTGGTCCCGCACCAGACGTGTGCACTCCTGCGTGCACGGCCGAGGTGTGCACGGCGCGGAGGTTGAGACCGACGCTGTGAACACCTCCACCCTCCGTCCGTGTAGCTGCTGGACAATTCCCAGGCCACGAGATATTCTTAAATCGCGAGACGACTCCAGCGAAGCTCCTGGTGGTGCGACCAGAAGGAGGTGGCCCCAAGAGAAAAGGGACCTAAGAAGAGGGGTGGGAAATACGAACGGGGAAATAGCAGGAGGGCGGACGAGGATGGGGCAGGAGGGAAAGATGGCCAAACCAGCCAACAATGTATATGGTGAGATTCGCAGCGTAATTCGCGCCCTATCGTGGGATTCGCCGCTGGCTACATTCTTCGCAGCCTGCAGCGATTAAATATCATCGCGGGTGCTGCTACTAAAGCGGTGCGCGCGAGAGAGGGCAGAGAGAAAGCGGACAGCGCGACAAGGGAGGAGAGGAGGGAGGAGGGCAGGAGGGGTTTGAAGGTTGGGACGGGAGGGAGCACAGTGAAGGGGGGGGGGGGGGCGGAGAGGGTCCCTCCCCCTTCGCCCCGCTCCCCCACCCATCCCCCCGGGATGGAGGGAGGGGGGGAGGGGGAGGCGTGGAGCGGGAGACCATGTAGGGACGCTTGCGGAGGCGGGGAGGAACAGACCTGCACTCCCCAGTGGGCACACTGAGCCCTCCGCGCGCGCCCGAGGCCAGGGCCTTCCGGAGCACGGGTCGGCCCAAAGTCATACACGGATTTAGATCGAGGATACAACCTGTGGGACGCCTAGGGCTCCTGCTGGGTCTCAGTGGGCCTCCAGGGGCCTCCGAAGCCCTGGTGACCTGCGGGTATCTGGCTCTGGGGACATCTGGGGGAATCCTTCCTTTCGTGGCGGAAGGGGCAGTGTGGAAGTGGAGGAGGCGGGGCCACAACGGCAGCAGCAAGAGAAGGGCCAGGACGACGAGGAAGAGGACGAGGGCGGGGTGTGGAGGAAAAGCGGGCGGAGTGGAAAAAGGGGAGAAGAAGAGACGAAGAAGAAAAAGGAGAAGAAAGGAGAGGAGGCAGACGAGGCAATGAATGGGAGGGAGCGGGGAAGGAGGAGGAGAGGCCAGTGTAAATGCAAGACTCGTAGAAGATGTTGCAAACCCTCCCTCCGAGCACCCTCTCCAAAGGCCCTTTACAATGACTCATTTTAGCTGAAGAAAAAGTCCCACTGGAAAACAACTATTTGAAAATCCTGAAATGCGCCAGGACACCATTCGCGGGAGTTCTCGCCGCGAATCACGGTACCGATGCGTCGTGGCGATCATGGGTCGTGCCAGAACACCATTCCTTGGAATCCAACACCATGAAATCAACGTCACTGTTGCGCCCTGAAGGTCCGACATCGTGCCAATGCACCATTTCTGAAGCGTTATCCATGTGAACAATTTCAACCCGCTGTGAATTCTGAAGGCGAATGTACGCGGCACCAAAGCGAAAGCCGCATTGCCGCGTTCTGAACAGGGGCCACCTTCCATCCGTGGTATAACGAACGCGCGCGGCGCTAGCACGAGAAACGCATCTTCAACACGACCTGCCCCCATTCGCTAAACTGCTGCAGCTTTTTAGACGGATGCGCGCGGCGCTAAGGCGAGAGCCACATGTTGAAAACCACCTCTCCTCAATCCGTGAATCTAAGACGCGAAACACATTTTGAAAACGGCCTGTCCCCAATACGTGAGACGTTTGCAAATCTGTTTGGGACGGTTGTGCGCGGCGCTGAAGCGAGGGCCACATTTCGAAAGCGGCCCGCCTTCCATCCGTAAAGCTGCTCCAGATTTCAAGCTTCAAGATCATAAATGGTGAAGAGATATCGAACGAAGCGCCCTGCCCGCTCTTCCGACTGGCGTTGGGGCCCGACAGGGAGGAGTTATTCACAAGGGGAAAGGATCCCATGTAAACCCAAGACGCGTGAATGAGCTCTCAATTAAACCTCCCTCAAAATGCTCTTTTCATAGACCCCATACACAAAATGAGCTCATTCCCGAAAGCGCCCCGTTGGAAGACAACCGTCTAAGGAACCCGAACCGGAGCAGAACGCCATTCTTGGGACTCCAGCGCCGCGAATCAACGCGACTGCTGCGCCACAGCAACCTTGAATCGTGCCAGAAAACCATTCCTGAGACTCCAGAATCACGAGTCAACGTGACTGTTGCGTCCAGGCAAGCCTACATCGTGCCCGAGCGCCGTGTGTAGGACTTCAACCCTGCGAAAGCTTGAAACTACCTTAAACGTTTCATGCGGGTATTCCTGGCGCAGAGGCGAAAAACACATCTTGAAAAGGAGCCGCCATCCACCCGTGAAGCAGCCGCACAATTTGAAGACGGTGCGCAGCACGAAAGCAAATAAGTAGAATTTGAAAAGGAACCACCCTACATCGGCGAAGCTGCTGCACAATTTTGAAACTGTTGGGCGCGGCGCTGATGTAGCATGCTGGGCACTTGAGCCACGTAAAGACGATCACCACATTTTGAATACGGCTAGCCCTCCATCCATGAAGCTGTTGCAAATGTCAAATTCCAAGAGCTTAAATGGCGAAACGGTCTCAGGCGAAACGCACGGCCGGCTTCACCGATACTTCTGGGGACGCCAAAAAGAAGAACTACTAATAGGGTACATGCATGGCTAAACGGAGGCGCAGGATGGGGGGGGAAGGCAGTGGAGTGACAAAGACAAAATGACTACTAAATACTCAGCGAAGACAAAGAAGCCAGGGCAATGACTCTTGAAGTCCTCCCGGCTATTCGATTCACTTGGGACTGCTCCTTCCTCCTGCTCGTCCTCGACCCCCACGCACCCGCATTCCTGTTCCTCCTCCTTTTCCTCCAAGATCCAAGTTTTGTTCATTGTCCTCCTCCTCTCCCGTTCTTCCTCCTTCTCCTCTGCGTCCTCCCGCGCTCCCTCCTCCCGATCTGCCTTTGCTACTCCTCCTCTCTCCCGCCCTCATTCCTTCGCTCCCCTCCCCTCCTCTCCTTCCCCGCTCCCCTTTCCCCCTCCCTCCATCCCTCTCTCGCCTCCCTCACCCCCTGATTCCGAGGTTGGCGCGGGAACCGCCCCTAGCACGCTCAGAAAATTCGCCCCCAAAATGGTTACCTCAGCCTGGACGGTCGAAGAAACTCAGCAACGCGGTCAACAAGTTAACCAGCGTCCAGCCATACAACTGCGAGGCCTGCTGTCCCCGAAACGGCAGTCGGGGAGGCGGGCGGCGGAAGAGGAGGAGGAGGAGGAGGAGGAGGAGGAAGAGGAAGAAGAGGAGGAGGGTAGAGGAGAGAAGAGGGAAGAGCAGGGAGAGGGAGCAGCAGAAGGGAAGGGGAGGATGAGGAGGACAAGGAAGGAGCAGAGAGGAGGAATGATAGGATGAGGAGGACCTACGCACATCATCAGGGATGGGGCGATACTCACAGCCGTGCTGAATAATTGGATCACCGATCCCCCGCATGGAATTCGTTGTTGCCGTCTCAAACACCGAACCTGGGGACCAGCCTTCCCGTCACAGATCGCCTGTCGATGGCCCCAGGGCGCCCGAGAGCGGCCCCAGGAAGGTGCTCCCACAGATCCGACCTGTCGTTTTGTCCATATGCCCCCCCCCAACCCCCGAGCCCAGCAGAGTCCCGACCCTCTCCCCAGGGCCAGCGTTTCGTCCCGAGTCGTTCTGTGGCGGCCCGGGCCCCTGGGACAGGGGCCACAAGGGCCGAAGACAGCAAAAACCATCCGTTCTGCTCCTGCTCAGTGCGCTGGAGGCCTGGGCTCTCAGGGGGAGCCTGGGAGGCCTGGGGGGCGGGGGGGAGGAAAAGGAGGAAGAGAACGACGAGGAGGAGGAGGAGGAGGAGGAGGAGGAGGAGGAGGAGAAGACAAGAGTACAAGAGCTAAGAGTCCAAGTGAATCGCGAGGACACAGCATCAACAAAAAGGGAACGCATCCCCGAACAGACCTCAAGGGATGGAGGCGGCAGCGGCATCAGACCCCACCTCCGGCGTCTCGCCGTCGCCCGTGGGCGCCGCCGCGGCAGGCACCAGCTCTGAAAAGATGAACGGCCCCAGCCGCTCCCCCGAATTCGGGTGGAGCCCCCGCTGGGCCGCCTCCAACATAGACTGGATTCGTGGATCCCGCCGCCCACCCCGCCCTCAACACAGACCCTACAGAGGCCGACGGATAATCGATTCGGTCTGACGGCATGCGCACCGCATCGACAATAAATGGCCACTCGGTCGATCCACTCGACCACATGGCCAAGCCCAAATCAATGAGGGTTGCACGCCCGGGTGGAGAGGGATTTGAGGGAGCACTGGGTCGACGCTTGCCTCTCGTATACTGTGCAAACAATCCTATCCCAGGAAGTACCACAACACGATGCGAGGTGGGCTTGCGCACGCGCGTGCCACGAACGACACACTTTTTTTGGTCGGCGGGTCGAGAGCGGGCCTCTTCCACCACGAACGACACACACACACACGATCGGACGACGGATGACGGGTGTGGCAGGCCTCGCAGACCTCTCGGCGGCGAAAGCGAAACATCTCATGGTCGCCTTCGCTCGCTCCTGTTCGTATCTGTGTCCCTTGATCGCACTAGACGAGCCCGAACTATCGAAGGCACCGAGTTTGGCGAAGACGTCGGCCCACACATTGCCGAACAAATGCTCGGGGCGCTCGCCTGACCCGAAGGACGCGCGCAGCCCCTCCTCTAGGCTGCTATGGGCCGTGGTCCAAACAAAAACTGGAAGGCGATCGCCATCACGATACACATCATGCATCCGCCGCCAGACCGACGCATGGGGAGCTCTCGCCCGAGCATGCCTTCCTACCCAAAGGACCCCCCTCGAGCTGGAGCCCCAGGTGGTCGTCGACCACCGTCTTGGAACGAGCAGCCTTCTCGAGACTTCGGAGCGCCGCAAACCGCTCGGCCCGAGTGACCGTTTGAATGGGGCCCGCCAAACCCCCCAAATCGCTGTGTACGGAAAGGGGTCGGGCGTCAATGCAACAATGGCCCATCCACACCTACAGGTCTCAGGGAAATCACGATCAACACAAGAGCCGTCGGCAAATACTTTACTCGGTCAAGCCATGTGCTCGGCGCCCCATTCTTTCGCAGGCAAGGTCGAGGTAGCGCCGGGCCCGAACTCATGCAGCAAGGGGATGGCGTAGAGGAGGTCGATGGGCGAATCATCCAACATTGCGGTCGCCCCCCGGCGACCACGTTCAAATCGATTCCTTCGCATCTTGACGGCGTTCTCAGGGCATGGCTCGCGCTCCTCAGAATCCTGCTGCTGGTGCGCACTGCAGGGGAATAACTCATGCTCCAAGTCCGCAATCTCATGTCCGCAGAACTCGCAAATAGCGTTGTCGGTGCATCCCGCCTCCTTACGTCGGGCTGCCGACCACTTCCCGTTAGATTGCAAGTTGGCCAAAACTCCACGCAACCCTACCGACATCGGCTGAGAATGACCCGGTCGGAGGGCACGCATCCAGATGCGTTTCCTGCGGCCGCCAGCCTCGCGCGGCGGAGCGCCGGATATATGGTCGAATACGCGGTGACCCTGCCAGGTCCACGTGGAGTCTAGCGTCGTCGACCAGCACCGCAGCCGGAAGCATGCCCCATCCAACTCGTCTCGGCGTTAGCCACAACGCGGACAGCGGGCCCGTGGCACTCGCCCTAGTGAAGCCACCCCGAAGGTCAGCGATCCTATCACGAAGGGGGGACGGAGGAAACCGCATGCCCCGCACCCACTCCGCGCACTGCGCCAAGGCGCTGCAGGTAGCGCGGGAAATCGGGTCGACATCCCACTGTCCCTGCGTGGCCTAGCACAGCGCAAGGCAATCCGAACCTCCATGGCCGCGCAGGCTACCGGCCAAACTGCGCATGCGCCGCAGCTCGCCGTCGCCGACGCCGCTGACAGCCGCGCCGTGGCCCACTGACGGGAGCGCCCCAGTGCCCCAGGGCCGGGCCGCTCTGGTCTTGCCAGCGCCGCGCCGCAGGGCGCGCAATCAATGCCTGCGCCTTTGCATCTGCTTGAGCCTGGCCTTCTGCACGTGGCGCGTCGCAGACGAAGCGTTGAGGTCGTGGTCCAGATACCTCATGTGCTTCTTATCCTGGATGCGCAGCATCTTCGCCAGCCCCTCGAAGTGGTGGGCCGCCTTGGCGGAGATGGCCACGCGGCCCGGCTTCTCCGCCTGGAGCACCAGGCCAACCTTGCAAACGGACCTTCAGAACACCGAAATGGCCGTAGAGAAAGCACGGGAGCCAAGCGGGCCGGCGCCAACCCAGCTCAGCGCCACATCATCGACCAAAGCACGAGGACGGACCTCCTTGGCGATGTCTGCCGTGAGCTTGAGGCTCCGTGACAAGATCATCATCAACAACGTCGCGGCCTGCGCGCAGCCTGCCAAAATCCCTGGGCGCACGCGCTGCGTGGAGGAGAACGAGGTTCAGGCGTGGACCGCCCGCAGCTGCTGATAGAGAGATACCAGCACGAAGCAATGCGCATGGGGAACTGGTTCTCCCTGGCCAGATCTCGTCGTGGCGGGTCATCTCGTACCACCTGAGCCTGAGCATGTCCAGCAGGATGACCAGAGCCTGGTCGTCCACGAGGTCGGCCACCTCCTTCTCGAGCGCCAGGTTGAACGCAGCGCCCGTGGAGCTGCGCCCGCCCACGCGCCCCCCCCCCCCCGCGCTGGGTGGAGATAGGGCGCCGAGCGCGGCCCAACCGACGAATTCAGCTCTGCGATGAGCCGCCCCCTCCCCTCGGCTTGGGGAGCCGCGCCGACTGGGCGATGAGGCGTTGGTCGGGCCATGACAGTAGCGCCTCGCCGCGCTCGAACAGCCTGGCCAAGGTGGCCACCGCGCTATCGGAAAGGTGTTCCATGGCCCGATGGGCGATATTAATATGACCAACGCCAGTCTTTCAGTTGAAGCCGCAGATCGCCTCGCGGATGCTCTCGCGGCAGCGCCCCCCGCAAGTCAGCGTCGCGGGGCTTGTCTACCTCGCAGTCGCCATAGCGATGCCAGAGCTCTCCCCAATGCTCGAACTTGCGGCCCGCAAGCTGGAAGGCGCCACGCAGCCCGCTGCCGCTATCCATCGCCTCCTGGAGGGCCCAAGGCTAGGAGAAGCTCGGGCCTGGCTTTCCTAATGTGGTCACCTTCTGGTCGCGTTTCTGCTGCGGCCGCCCCAGCATGCGATCGACGTGCGACTCGAAGTCCGGCAGCGACAGGCACGTACAACCAACCCCGAACAACTCCGAGGTCGGCATGTCCGAATGCCTCCAAACGTCCTTCTGGCGACCTGCACGGTCGAAGATCCGCTCGCGCTCCAGGATGTGCCGCGCCGTGTTCGCCGACAGGGCCGAAGGGCAGGGCCCGCCAAAAGCCCATCCGATGCGGCCGCGCAACCAGTCGTCGCGGAACTCGCGCCACTCGCCCCAGCAGCAGCACGCGCCGCCGACCCAGCAGTCGAGATAAAGCTCGCCGAGGACCCAGTAGACGGGGAAGCCACCGTCGCCGTCGCGAAGCGGTCCACCCTCCCCTCCCCCAGCGATTCCCCGACAGGGGGCCGAGCCTCTCTGGGCGGCGCGTGCCCAGGAATGGCTTGGCACGACGCTGCCGAGGTCTCCACTTTCGCAGGTCGGGGAGGGGGCCCCTGGCTCGGGGGGCCGAACGCGAGCCAGCAGCACCAGCAACAGCAGCAGGTGAGCTCTGGGCCTGAAGCCTCTGGACGAATGTCTGCAGCGCTGTGCGCACGCGCCGCGGGTGGCGAGCCCATCTCGCCGCGGTGTGCCACGCCTGCCGCGCGGGCGGCCTGGCCTTCCACGACGGCAGCTTGGCGAGGTCAAACCGAGCCCACTGCGCAGCCGGAGGCGCCAGCACACTGGTGAACCGAACAGCAGCCCCGCTGGCCACGTCGTAGCGGCCTTGGATCTCGAACTCGATCCCCGACAGCACGACGTCCCACACCACGGCAAATTCCTCGCCTGTGGCCGCGCGCGCGATGAGTTTCTGGGCTTCTCTCAGTCGTGTGGCGGGCGCGCGCAGCCGGGCGCCGGTGGCCCCTTGAACGCCCGCGGCTCCACCAAAGCGCGGAACCGAGGGCTGGTGGCCCTCACCTGAGCGGTAGCGATGCAAGCAGGTGCGGCCAGGTGTCAGCGTCCCCTACCACTGGGGTGGCGATCTTGTCCGCCAGGGCCGCCGATGTTATAAAGAAGCCGATGGTGCGGCCAGGTAGAGACTGCGCGCGCGTGGGCGAGGGCGGAACGCAGGCCACTCCGCTAGCCGAGTGGAGCCAATCCAAGAAGCCCAACTCGTGCAGCTCCATGTTGAAGTCCGCACCCACGATCCATGGGATGCCCTGCCCCGCCAACACCCGCAGGTACTTTTACAGCGCTAATTAACAACATGGCCAAGTACTCGGGCGACAGACCCGCATCAGCGTGGAAGAAAACAACTACCATGACGAATCCGCCGCGAACACCACGTCGGACGGGCCACTGCCATGCGCCCTGCCACCAAAGACGGCGACGGCACCGCGGGCGGCCTAGTGACCACCACGCGCTTGGGCACCAAGATGGCGACGCCACTCTGCGTGCCAGAACCTTGCCCTGGGATGGCCGCTTCCCACACGCCGTGGTAGCCTGCGTCCAAAGCGTCTTGCTGGAGCCTGGCCAAGCTGGCCTTACCAGCTCCCGCCTCTCATGTGCGTGGTGCTCCTGCACTGCCAGACACATGCTGGTACAGGACGCCAGGTGCTCCACGAGAGGGGCCACCTGACGACACATTGCTGGTGGTGGTGTCGATAGCAGACGTCATGGTGGAGAAAAGGGCCAACTGGCACATCATGACATCAACGAGGGACCGCCGCTGCGGCCTGCCGATTCAGCTTGACCTTCGCTCCCCACTTTGGGAAGATCTCCTCGAGATTTCTCTTGTCGCCTCCAGCGGCCGCCACCTCGTCGACTGCCTCGGGGGGCAGCGGCTCACTGTCGTCCATGGGGGCTACGGCATCGACTGCCTCTGCGGGGGCGGGCTCGCGAGCCTCTGCCTCCTGAGCAGCCTGGGCACGCTGCTCAGCCTGATTAGCCCTCGCCTCCTCGTCCAGCTGCAGGAGGGCAGCAAACTGATCGTTGAGCTGCGCCGGCAACTCGCGAGTCGCCCCCAGGCTCTGCGGCACGGTGCACAAGCCCTGCAAGAGGACGCCCAAGCCCTCGATAGGCTCATGCAGGGACACCTTCTCCGAGCCAGGTTTCGGGGCCTGGATCTCCAGCTTCTTCCGCTCTTCATCGCGCTTCTCCATCTGCGCGTCCGAATACTCGAGTTCCGCCTTGGCCTGCTTTTCCTGCAACTGCAGGTCGGCCAAGTGTTTGCGGATGCCCGACAGCTTGCGCTCCTGGTCTTCACGAAGCCGCTCATGCTTGGGAATATGTGCGCCCATCTCGCGAAGGCGCTGCCCCAGCGGCCTCGAAGCCGACAGCCGCGCCTTGACAGCGGTGAGCTGGGCCTCGTCGCCGGACGTCGTCTTGAGCATGATGGGGTCGTCGGAGTCCGAGACCCGCTTGATGAGGTAGCCAAGCTCGGGCACCCGCTGCCGATCCTTCTCGTCAGCGGAGACGGGCACGCCTTGCGGGCCCGCTGCCTCGTCGGCGTCTCCGTTCTGCTGGGCCAGGCGCGCGTTTGCCTTGGCCAGTTCCTCCTTGAGCTTCGCCACCTGCGTAGCGGCGTAGAGCTGGCCCAGGCCGACGACCTCGAACGCGACAACGCTGGGGCCGCAGGTTGCCGATACGCCTTGAAGACCAGGCCCTTTCCCAAGTGGCATTTGGAACAGGCCGCCATCCATGGCTGGTTGAACCAGCTGGTGCCCGCAGCCCCGACGCAGCACTTGCAGTACCACTGGCACGTGCTAATCTCTGCTCGCGTACGCACGGCTGGCGCCATGGCATGCACTGCGGTCGGAAGCTCACTCTTGCTCCGCCAAGAGCTCACGGAATGCTCCCCTGGGGAGCTGAAACATACAGGGGCCTCGAGCCTGTCCCCTCGGCGGCGCTTCGAGCTCCAGAGACAGGAACGGCATTGGAACTTGAGCCAAAATGGCTGCTGCTGCGGAGGAGGAAGAGGAGGAAACGAGGAGGACGAGGACGAGGACGAGGACGAGGAGGAGGAGGAGGAGGACGAGGAGGAGGAGGAGGACGAGGAGGACGAGGAGGACGAGGAGGAGAAGGAGGAGGAGGAGGAGGAGGAAGGTGGACCCGGGGAGGGGGGGCCTCTGGAGGCCTCGGAGCGGCCTGCCGAGAGGGCAGGTGCGCACCCCGCCCCCGTGCGCGCCGCTGGGCCTGCCGCCTCGGCTCGAGCGGATCCGCTCTGCCGCGAGACGGGGCGCAAGCACGGCGGATGCAGCCGGTGGTCCCGGCACCTCTGAGGGGGAGGGAGCGAAAGGGTAGGATACAGCAAAGGGCGGGGCAGAAGGGGCGGGGCAGAGAACAGGGCTGAGCCGCAAAACGCAGTCGAAACGAAAACGGCCCACGCAATCTCCAATACACCGCTCAGGTCCAGCCCTGGTAGAGAAGCTGTTCAATGTCTCACGGCTCGAGGGGGTGTGGGTTGGGAGCCCGTCCCCCTCGCGCCGCCCCACGCTCGAACTTGCAAAGCCGGGGGCTCCCCTGGTGGCTCGTTCCGCAGAGGGCTCGGGTGGGGTGGGGCGGAAAAAAGGTAGGATGGCAAAGGGCGGGGCAGAGAATCAGCTCACGCAGCTGGTTTTTCCTGGCGCCCATTGGCGCCAGGAGGCGCCCATGCATCGAGGATTGGGCCTGGCGGCGGGGCCGAAACCAGCTGCATGCAGCAGGTGTCGTGACCCCCCCTCTCCCTATCCTATCCCTTCGTCCAGCCCGAACCTTGGAGGGGGCAGGGGGGGATGGAGGGGTGGGCGAGGTGTGCCCTCGACTAGGATGGGTGGTGGAGGCCTTGGAGCGCTCTTGGTCCTCCTAGGAGGCCTCTGGGGCCGGAGCGTACCCCCCTCCGCTGCTGCCTCCGGCAGGCACCCCCACGCAGGCGTGAGACCCGCCTCGGGGGTCTCACGTCGTCGTCATCGCGCCGCTGTGGCAGGTTGCGAAAGCCCTCCGCCGCGGCCGCTTTCCCGCGGAGCCGTGGGCAGAAGCCGACGGCGCCGTGGCCGCGGGGCACGGGCGCGGCAGCGGGCCTTTGGCGGCCGCGAGAAGGAGCCTGGCGGAGCTGCAGCTCGGCACCGGCGTGACGCGTTGGGGAGGTGTGCCTGCCTCACCCGGCGGATGATGCCCTGCTGACTAGGCGCTGCCAGACACGCGCGAGGTCTTGCTCGCCGCCTGGGCTGGCAGGGAGGCCCGCTCTCTGGCAGCGAGACGCCCGATGTTCCACCACCTGCACGCCGGCGTGGATCGCTGGGCCACCCGGCGGCTCCTCGGCGGCGAGGATCTCCCGCCCGACGCTGCCCGCGCGCTGCGGACCGTGATGAGCGGCAGCGTGGTGACGGAGTCCGTCGCGGCGAAATGCGGCGAAATGGGGCCGGCCGCCGGCGTGCCCCCGCTCCGGCGCTGCGACCAAGGACCGAGGGACCTCGAGCACAGGTTCTGGGCCTGCCCCTGTTGGGAACCGCAGCGTGTGGCAGCGGCGCAGCCGGTCGGCATCTCGCACCTGGCCCCCCGGGCGCGGCTGCCGTCAGCGGTGGCCCTCACAGGGGTCATGTCGTTGGACCCGCGGCTCGCCGCTTTGGCGAAGCAGGCGCGGCTCCCCTTGCCGCCGCCCGCCCTGCCTGAGCCTGCCGAGCAGCCGCACGAGGCGCGTGCGCGCGCGTGGACCGATGGGGCATGCGAGCACCCGTGCAGCCCGCTGCAGGGCCAGGGCTGGCTGGGGCGCCCGCGCGGAGAGGCGCCTGGGCGGTCCCCTGGAGACGCGCGGCCCCGTCAAACGGCGCCCAGACCGCGCAGCGGGCCGAGTTGGCCGCAGCAGCGTGGGCCCTGACCGCGGCGGCGGGCCCGGTAGAGGTCATTACGGACTCGCGCTTCGTGGCCAACGGGGTCGCGGCGATCCACGGCGGCGCCGGCTCGCGCGAGTGGGCGCACGCCGATATCTGGGACCGCCTCGCCGCGCACTGTCGCAGCGGCCAGCTCCGGGTGCGCTGGGTCAAAGGCCACTTGGTCGCGGCCGAGGCCAGGGAACGCGGCCTTTCCGAAGAGGACCTGGCGGGCAACGAGGCGGCGGACCGCCTGGCTGGGGAGGCTGCAGCTTGCCGCTTACCGCCCCCCGCGCAGGTCAGCGAGCGGCTGCGGCAGCTGCAGGCGCTGGAAGCGGTGCAGCGCATGCTCGCCGCAGTGGAGCTGGCCGCAGTGAAAGCGGACCGCGGCAGCACCAGCGCTGGCGGACCGGGAGTGCGGCGACGACGCTGGGCCCCTGCCGGGCCCCACCGCCGCCGCCGCGCGCCCCGCGAAGGGGACGACGCGGCCGTCGCGGCCGTCGCGGCCGCGGCTGCGCCGCCGGCTGCCCAGGGCGCGCCCGCCGATGCCCCCTGGCGCCCTGGCGCGGCGGCCGCGGCGCACGCGTTGTTCGCAGGCGCGGCGTGGCGGGCGCACGCGGCCTCGCAGGGCCCGGCCAGGGTGGCCTGCATGGGCTGCGGCTGCTTGACGGGTCAAGCTCCCTCCGCCCCCGCTCCTGGCACTCGCCGCCACGCCTCCCGCCTCCCGCCTCCCGCCTCGCTGCTCCAGCCCCCCCCCCTGCCCCAGACCTCCGGCATCGCGGAGCGGATGCTGCGAGCACCCCTGCGCAGCTTCGGCGCCCAAGCAGAGAGCTGGCCCCGCGGAAGACGTCGTCGGGAGCCGCGGGCCGCGCGCCGCAGCAGCACACATAGGCGGAGGCCTGGGAATGCCTACCCACCCTCCCCGCACTCCGCTCGCCCCTCCGCCCGCCCCCTCCTTGCTCAGGAAGACTCGGAAGAACTCCAGCGTCAGACCGTAGGTGAAGCGGCTGCCCATGTCCACCTGTGCCGTGTCGTCGGCGGAGGAAGCGAGAGGGAGAAGGAGCATGGCGAGTGGCTCCAGGGGGGATGGGAGGCAGGGCGCGGATGGGCAGGGAAGGTGTCAGGGAAACGCGTGCAGGTAGGATGCGCGAGGTGGATGGGGGGCAGGAGAGCAGAAGGCTGAAGGAAGTGGAGGAGGGGGCGGGAGGTCCGGCGACGATGACGAGCCACAGGAGGAGCAGGGCATTGCTAGTCGCCTCTCCTGGAGGACTGGCTGTTCAGTGCATGCGGCGCCCAGGAAGAGTGGCGAGGAGGACAATGATAAAGACAATGACAAGGAAAGATGAGGACGACGACGCGGAGGAAGGGGGAAGATGGAGAATGATGATGAGGAGGACAGCAAAGACGCTCGTCCGACAACGGGGAGGACGACGATGACGACGACAACGACGTCGTGGAGGAGGAGGAGGAGGAGGAGGAGGAGGAAAACAGGTGGGGGAAGCGCAAGCGACGGGCGGCGGCCATGGCCCGAGCTTGGCCGGGCGGGCGAGGCGGACGACGCCGAGCACCGCCTCGTCGTCGTCGTCGTCGTCGTCGGAATAAGAAGATGAGGTGGGTGCGTCACCCGAGCTCTGGAGTAGACGCGCTAAGTAGATTAACGTTAATCCCAGGGATGCACGTTCGCTCCGGGGCCGTCGATACCATGATGAAACATACTGATGGCAACCGTTGTCGTCGTCGTCCTCCTCCTCCTCCCCTGACCCATGCCCTTCTTTTCCGCCACCTGGGTCAATGGACACGCTGGGTATCCATGCATCTGGCATCTGTATCTATATCCTTCAAACAATGGAATATAGAACTGGACCTAACCGACGGCCTGGTAGCTATGTTGTCGCCGTCGCCGCCCCGTCGCCGACTCGTCCCCACAAAGATGCACCACACAGCTTGCACCACATCGATTGCACAGCATAGGTTGCTCCTCCAATAATGTATCACACATTTTTCCCGACACCGATTATACCACATATACTGCACCGCATCTGTTGCACCACTTCTATTGCAACACACGGATTGCACTACATCGGTTGCACCATAGATCTTGCACCACATGGATAGCACCACATGGGTTACACAACATACATTGCACAACATCGATTGCACCACAACTATTGCACCACATAGATTGCACCACGTAGCGTGTACAACATAAGCTGCACCGCACATATTGCACCACATAGGTGGCACAGCATAGGTTGCACAACATGTTGTGCGACGTAGGTGACACAGCATGTACTACACCACCATGTTTGCATCACATAGGTCGCCCCACCTATATGGCCAGTCAAGCAATCCTTAGGAGGGTCCACGTTGACTAACATATTCAAGTACAAATACATAAACATGTGTTTATGTATACATCCTTTCTATAAGAAGCAAGCATCTGAACAATGTGTAGGTGTAGCTTTATATGCGTACATACACACAGAAATGGGTATGCGGCCACAGTGCTGCTAAAACCACTGTTGGCCGATCCACGGCTGGAAAAGACGGACTATTACCCTGCGAGGGCGGCTTGGATAATCAGTGCGCGTCCTTCACCCTTCTCCTGCTCCTCATGCTCAACCTCCTCCTGCACCATCTCCTTCTCGTCCTTCTCGCTGTTCTCTTCTTCATCACCTCCGCCACCCCCAATGTTTGTATCAATCCCTCTGAAAGGGCCACATGACCCTCGACATGGGCCCTATGACGAGCGCCGCCACATGAGGCTTCCATCAAGCCGCCAAACACCCAAGTTGTTTTGTTTTGGGGGGGGGGCTGTTCTGGGTGACTCCAGTTTCGGGTTGGCTGTGCCCCCCCTGCTTGCTCGACTAAAGATTGCAACACTCACTCATACACCGAAGCATGGGAACAACTCCTCCATATCACCAACCTTCCCCATAGGCCCCGCCCCCGCAAGGCCACGGAGAATCGACAATTGACGACGCCGGCCCCACGCTTCTCACGACCGCGGCCAAGGCGGCACTCGATAGCGCAACATAGCTGCGCGAAGCTCCGTCCAGCGAGCAAGGCAAACTGCGCAGCCTTGGCTTATTGAAGACGTGCGGACTTGCACAAACGGCACGTGTGCCCTGGATCTGGCACGAGGGAGCGGCGGGCACGGGGGGTCGAGCAAGAAGGGGGAGTTTCTGTGGGCCGTCCTGGTGACGTCTTGGAACCAGGTGAGCGTCTCGGGGAGGGGGGGGGCATATTGCAGTCATTGCGGGTTCTTCGGGGCTCTTGGGGCCGCTTCGGCCTGGGGGTGTCCTGATGAGATCTTGGGGTGGAATCAGGGCGACTTAGAGCCGTCGTGGGGCTGTGACGGAGTCCATATTTGGCCATCTTGTGGGCGGCTCGGACTCTCTTAGGGACTCGATCGGCCTCTTTGGATATCCTGGAAGCCATTGGGGCCCATATCAAAGTAATGCTGAGACCGCATAACAATATCCGACGCATGGATGCAATACGTGCATTGATGTTCTAGCGTGCTCCTGTATACACATATATATACATATGGGCGAGTCTGAGTGCGAGTGAGTCCGAATAGGAGTGGGTCTGAGTATGGGTGCGTCGCATGAGAAGCTCACCACGAGTGTTTGAATTCGAGCGAGCGTGGATCTGAGTGACCTGAGACCTGAGTATGTCTGAACATGGGGAAGACATATTCTGTGTCAGGATGAATGTAACTGGGTAAAGGCGAGCGAGTCTGAGCGTGAGCCGCCGCATCCGGGTGGCTCTGAACGCGCGTGGGTCTGAATATGGGCGCATGGGCCTGCGCGGCTGCGTATGGGCGGCTGGGTATGAGTGGGTCTGAGTTCGAATGGGTCTGAGTATGAGCGGTTATGAATTCAAACGAGACTGCAAATGAGCGAACCCGGGCGCGAACGAATCCGAGCAAATGCGTAAGTCTGACCATGCGCGGCTGTGCATGAATGAATCTGGGCGCGAGTGGGATCTGAAGTTGAGTAGCTCCTGGAATGAATTGACATGGCTGTGGCTGAATCACAGAATCGTGTAGGCGTCTTGGTACGTCTGACGGTGTACGAGCAAGTCTAGGTGGGAATGCACCTGGATAGAATGAGACTTGGTACGAATGGCTACGTACGCGTGAGCGGATTCGGGTAACAGGGGCCTTGAACACGGGCGGATTACAATGTCAGAGCGTAGGGGTGCGGGCGGTTAGGTACGAGCGGGTCTGGTATGAACGGGCACGGGTATAAATGAATCGACGCACAAGTGAGGGCACCATGTGGCTTCTAAACGCTTCAGTCGCCTACCTGGGGCGTCACTCGGCCTCCTGGGGCCTCTGGGACCCTCCTGGCGCCTCCTGGACTTCCCAGGAGGGCACTGGAGCCTGGTGGGAAGTCATGGAGGAGCTTCCTCGGACCACACATCGCCTCCTGCCCCCATCCTCCGTCCCGTTGGGCCTCATGTGGTTCCTCGGTGCCCCCCCCTGCGCCTCCTGTGGCCTCTGAGGCATCCTGCACGAGGAGGCCCCACCGACACCCCACCGATGTGGGCGCGAGTGGGCTCGGGATGCCTCCCTGGTCGACGCCCCCCCCCCCAGGTCGGCGCTGCCGGCCGCATCGCGGTGAGCAAGGGGCTCCGCGCAGACCGTGTCTGCCCGCTCCCCCGGGCGGGCGGTCCACCCGAGAGGCCGCGACAGCCCAGGCACAGTCGGGCCCGCGCGCCACTCCTGGTCGACGACCCAATGGGAAGCCCGAGCGCGAAGTCTGCCACATCGAAGTGGTCACACAGCTCTGAAGAAGAAGGTCACGTCTGCCCCCCCCCCAAAAAAAACAAATAAATGAAATGGCGCTCGACCTGCGAGATCCCGCCGCCTGGGCACGAAAGGTCAGGGGGAACACCTCAGTCTGCACCACCTTGAGACACCCTTCCCCGATGCGTGCTGCATCTCGGTGAACGTGCGGCTCAGAAGGAAGACGCGTCCACAACCCTCCCAGGACAAGGTTTTCTACCTGAGAGATTCCACCAATCCAGGCGCGAACTAGCTGGCGAGGTAACCCTGGCCGGCACCCCAAATGGAGGGCGGATGGCATGAGTGACGGAGTGCGAAGTGAGTACGAGTGGGTCCGACGTTCAGTTCAGTGTTTCTTGTGTCTGCAGGGCTACTCCTCTCCTTTCTTCCTACTGTTATTATTCCTCGCCTTCTTCTTCTTCTTCCTGCCCTGCCTCCTTCTCCTCCTCCTTTCCTCCTCCTCCCCGGCTCCTCACCCCTCCCTCCTCCCCCCTCCCTCCATTCCCCCTCCCACCTGCACCTTCCTAATTCCCTTCTCCTCCTCCTCCCCCTCCCCTTCCTCCTCCTCCTCCTCCTCCTTTCAGCGAACCCTTTCAGTGAGGGCTCTGTGCCGCGCCGAGGGGCGGCGCGGCGTAGCCCGTCAGTCCGACGGCCTCAGGTGGGCGCCGAACTCGTCCTTCTCGACCTTCTTTACGACGGACGCCCCTCCTTTGCTCGCGAGCTGAGGGGCGCCCGACCTTCTCTTGCCGCGATGCAGCTCGGCTGAGCTGGCGGCCCCCGTATGTTACACGGGGGGCGGGCCATGCCCCCCTTCGGCCCGTGGGCTGGGGACGGCCTCGCCGCGGCGCACGATGCGCCGCATCCTTCACTTGGCGAGTCCTCCTCTCTGAAGGCGTACGTGCTGGACACCGCTTCTGAGGACCCTGCTCCTGTCCTCCTTTTGGGCGACCTCCATACGTTCAAATCCTTCAGAGCTGTTGAAGACCCTGCTCCTGTCCTCCTTTCAGCTGTAGTCGAGGTAGGTTCAGCACGCCACGCTGCTGAGGACCCTGCTCCTGTCCTCCTTTTCAGCGGGCTGGTCACGTCGAGGTGATGGTCGGGGTTGGTGGGGTGGAGGTGCTAGGGAGGTTTGTCTTCGTTCTGCCACGCAGCTGAGGACCCTGCTCCTGTCCTCCTTTCTGCGGGCATTCCTGCAAGAGGTCGGTTCTGAGGACCCTGCTCCTGTCCTCCTTTTCGACGTCTTCCAGGCATGCTCGTCGAGCCTCGCTGTTGAGGACCCTGCTCCTGTCCTCCTTTCAGCAGGCTCCGTCTTGGTTGCGTCATGCCGCGCTGCTGAGGACCCTGCTCCTGTCCTCCTTTCAGCGGGCAGGTTCTGTCGAGGTGGTGGTAGTTGTTGGCGGGGTGATGGTTGCGGGGTGGGCGGTCGGTCGGTGGTGAGTCCCAGGCATTGTGGTTGGTCGTCTTGAGTGCCTGTGGGTAGGTCGTAGGGAGGTCGGATTGATGCTGGGGTTGTGGTGTGGTTATGGGCGCACTCGAGAGGCCTCCATGCACCGACTTCAAGTGGGGTTCGTGACGGCCCCACCTCGTCCCGCTATGGCTAGGGGTCACGGTGCCCTCGGTGGGGGCGAACCCCAGGCCTGGTGCTTGCTGTTGTTGTCGGTGTGGGATGTCTCGGCTGCCCTCAGCTTCGCCCCTTGGGCGATCGGGTAAGCGCCACCTTCGCCATGGGGATGGTGGAGCTGGCGAGCTAGGGCGGACCGCGGGGGCGCGGGTAGTGCCTCCTCCTGCTCCTCCTCCTCCTCCTCCTCCTCCTCCTCCCTCATTTTCCCTGTTCCCTTCTCTTACCTACTCCTGCCTCCAAGCCCTTCCCGCCTCCTCATCGTCGTCACGTTCTTCCTCCTATGTCGTACGTGCCAAGTCTGCAGGAGCAGGCCTGAAGCTCGAGGGTGTCGTCGAAGATGATCTCGACATTCTCGAACGTCACTTCCATCTCAAGGGGGGTGGGGGGGGCACCGGGAGGCGCTGGACGCCGACAAAGAGGATGAGGAGGAGAAAGGAGGAGGAGGACGAGGAGGACGAGGAGCGGGCGGCACGGTCCTCAGCAACCAGTGCAGGAGAGGGCGAGCTCCCCCGTTGTCCTGGAACGTCGTCGTTCCAAAATTGAGAAGGGCCCTCTCTGAGCCGTGGGACTGGCGCTTTCTCGGTGGTGCAACGGAGCCTCCTCGAAGCGGACACGGACCAATGCCAGCCTTGCACGGCCAGGCAGGCTCAGGGCGCCGTCGGCAGGCTGCCGCGCGGCGCGGGGGGCCCCAGAACGAAGAGGAGCATGTCCATGTTGCCCGGCCCGAGGTCGCCCTGGCGACGCTGGCTACGCACCTCCAGCCCCGCGCGCTCGAAGAGGTCCTCGTAGTGCAGAGGCGTCCGGACGCACGACACGGGCGCGCCTCCGTGGCCCTCCTCCCAGAGCTCGCCCTCCGCGTCGTCGAAGTACGTCGCCTTGTCCACTGTGGACACGTTCTCCTTCACCACCAGCGCGCCCCCTGGCGCAAGGCCCACCCCCGCCCGGCGCAGCAGGTCCAGCGCGTCCGCGTCTGTCAGGTACATGAGGAGCCACTGGCACCAGATCAGGTCGTAGCCGCCCGGGGCAATGTCGAACTTCTGGGCGGCGCAATTGTGGAAGGACAGCGAGCAGCGCCCGCCCGCACGCCCGCGGGGGAGCAGGCGCGAGCGCGCCGAATCGAGGTGCTTCTTGACGAGCTCCACGAGGTCCAGCTGCTCGCAGCGCTCCCGCAACACCCCCGCCGCTACCCTGCCGATGCCCGCCCCCAGGTCCAGCGCCCTGCCAAACACGCCGCCGCCCGTGCACGCGGCCCGCTCGGCGGCCACTGCCGCGAGCGCTTCCCTCGAGAAGAGCAGATCGCGCTGAGACACGCCGCCGCCTGTGGCGCCGCGCACGTCGGCGCCCTGCGACCGCCAGAACTGCAGGTTCCGCCTGTGCCAGCCGCGCGATATGCCCGGCGCGTCCCAGAGGCGGTCGTAGCTCCACTCGGCGTCTCCGCCCGCCGCTGGCGCCGCCCCTGCGCGGGCGGACGGCGCCCCTGCGGGCCGCCGTCTGGCGCCGCCCCGGACCTCGGCGGCACGCTTCGGCGCACGCGCTCGCCCCCGCACCGCGGCCGCGGGCCTCTTGGCGGGCCGGCGCACGCCGCCCCCCGCCGCCATGGCGGGCTCTGCCTGCGGGGCTGCGGTGGGAAGGACGGGCTGCGCTGAGCACGAAGGGGTGGCGACGTCCACGGCACCGCGCGACGCCTCCGCTGGGTGGCGACGCCTGGATCCTTGCCCCACCAACTATCGACTCTCCTGCATCGATGGGGAGGCGGGGGCAGGGTTTGGATCTCGCCTCATGTTCGACGAATCCCGAACCCTACCACAGCCGCTCATCGAGTTGCCTGAATCGTTGATCGGCGAGGCTCGGATGTCGCCGCCGACAAAACGGAGGACGGAACTTGCAAGCGGGCGAGCGGGCCAGTTTGGGCTCATTCCAGGTCCATGCCATCCCGAACCCGCGCCATAGAAATTTCAGTTCGGCTCTGAGGCATCGTCTGCCAATACCAAAAAATACCTAGAACATAATCGATCTTCGCGAGCTCGAATTCCTGTGACCCGTGACGGTGTACGTGAAACTTGCGGTTCAGACACGCATTGTCTCAGGACTCTCATCAACAACTTCGCGTGCAGGCCAATGCAAAGCTAAACCGTTGAATGTCGAGCACAGAGCCTCGTAAGCGCCATGATCCCGCATACGATTTAGGGACCTTCCTCAGGACGTGAATACATCGTCCGGGGCCACGCGCTCCGAGAGGCACCCTTCATTCCAAAGAAATTGCGGCCAACTGCGAAAGCGAATGTTTCGTATGTGTTCTGCCTGACGGCTGCTTTGCGCCCAGGACGACCCAAGATGGCTCTACGACTGCCCCTGGAAGCCCCAGGACTACTCCAATGTTCCCCACCATCGGCCCCAGGTGGCATCGAGAGGCCTGAGGGCACCACCAACGTCGCCCAAGATGGCCCCAAGTCCGCCCCAAGATGCTCCCGAAAATCACCGAGGTGCCCCCCAGAGGTCCCAAAGTACAGTGCTAGAGATAGCCCGAAGCTGGCCCCAGAAGCCCAAAGATGCCCCCCAAGGGGCTCCTGGGTGGCCGAGGCAGGCCTCAATGTGGCTCCGAGAGTCATCATCACAAGATGGCTCCGCCTGGGGGGGGAGGGGGGGCAGCGGCAGAGGCCGTTGCCCTTCAAGTACGCAAGCCCCCGAGTACGCAGGCCCCCGGGTACCACACGTCGCCCTTCAAGTAGCACTGACACCCGAGCAACACCGACACCCGAGTAGCACTGACACCAAGAAGCTCCGTCCAAGCTTCAGCTGGAACACGGGTCATCCAAACCCCGGCGGCAAGCGCCACCAATAAGACGACCCCGCAAACGAACCTACGTCCCGATTGCCCTCGGCACCTGCTGCAACTGCAAGAGCCTGGGACGCTCCAACCAAGCAGTTTCCGCGCACCAGCTCCAAATGGCTAACAGCACATATCGCACCTGCAAACATACTCCAGCCTAGCAACGCCCCCTGGCTAAAGTATCCATGCGAACGCATTCAACAAACCAGGAGGACGACCGCCAAGATCCTACACGTACGAAAACACACACATACATGTGTATACATACATATACATATATACACGCACGGAACTAGACACTCGATAACCACGCGCGCGATTCACGCACGCTCAAATTATCGTGCGGGCTGTGGCAGCGCGTCCACCACGGCCAAGCATAGGTGTCTCATACTATTCGCTGGTTGTGAAATATGCGGGCGGGGACTCGAAACATCAGAGCAGCATGTGATACGCTTGCGTATACTACGTCATGTTGGGGTGGGGGGAGGAGGGACAGGTTGAGGAGAAGGGGCGAGGGGCGCATCGTGGTGCCTCTTGGGGGCCTAATGGGAGCTTCGCGGGGCCCGTTGGGAGCGCCTCGGGGGCCTCTTCTTCGTGGGGTCGTCCTTCTGGGCCTCTTGGGGATTCTCTTGGGAATCTCTGGAAACATCTTGGAGCCGTTAGGATGCCCCGGAGAGTCGGGTGTCTCTTGGCATGCTTCTCGAGCGCCTCGTGGGGCGAGTTTTGAAGCTTCTCGGGGTTCCTTCGGGGCCTTGGGGGCCTCGTTCGGAGCCTCTTTTGGGGCTCTTGGGGGCCTCTAGGGGGCCTGCTGGAGGCCTCGAGGGCCCATTTGTGGCGGAAGGCTCGGAGTTGTTATGATGCCTCGAAGAATCGGGAGCAGGGTGTGGCGCATGGGCCGAGACATGCGTTTAGCAACCATCCTGTGGTGTTGGGTCTTCGTTTGAAGAGATAGCGCCCCGCGTCCCACCTCCTCTTCTCCTCCTCGGGTCCTTCCCCTCAATCCTCCATCCTCCATCCTCGTCATCACCATCGCACTCATGACCAGCATCATCATCATCATCATCATCATCATCATCATCATCATCATCATCATCATCATCATCATCATCATCATCATGATCACCATCATCATCATCATCATCATCATCAGCAGCAGCAGCAGCAGCAGCATCAGCATCAGCATCATCATCATCATCAGCATCATCATCAACATCATCAATATCATCATCAGCAACATCATTATCATCATCATCGTCATCATTATCATCATCACCACCGTCACCATCATCATCGCGTGCGTCTGTGCCATCCTCCCCGGCACACCCCTCACACGATTCGTGGCCCCATGGGAAGCTCTACCGCAGGCCCCAGTGCTAGGGTTTGCATGGCACCGCCGCCTCCATTTCAGCACACCCCTCACAAGGTTCGTGGCCCCATATGGAACTCCACGCAAGGCCCCAGTGGCAAGGTTTGCATGTGTTCCCGCGACTCATTTCGGCGCACCCCTCACACGGTTCGTGGCCAAATAGGGAGCTCCACCCAAGGCCCCAGTGGCAGGGTTTACATGCGTCCCCGCGACTCATTTCGAGGAAGAGACGCTTGCGCGAGGTCCTTGGGATTCTCCACGGCGCACGGCCCTTGGCCCTTGGACCTCTCGACCCCATCCCAGGGACAATATCTTAAGTTCTGTGCATTTTTGCTCATAGTCCTGGACCCAAACTCCCCACCCAGTACATACAGCGCTTCGTGGCCGCATCGGGAGCCCCACCGAAGGTCCCAGTGTCGCAGTTCGAATGCGTCCCCCGCCCAGTACAGCGTTTTGTGGCCTCAGAGGGGGCCCCACCGAAGGTCCCAGTGGCGCAGTTCGCATGCGTCCCCCCCGCCCAATACGGCGCTTCGTGGCCCATAGGGAGCTCCACGGGGGACGATACCCACAACTGCGGTACTCATAACTGCATATGGTTGGGTTCTTCGCCAGGCTAATTTTCACGATGCGGGGGGGCACGTTTGGAGGGATGGTGTGAGACAAGAAGGCTCCGGATGAATCCGAGGTTGCGTCAGTGCCAGAATTTCGCAGCAGACGCAGCCGCGGGCACCAAGAGGCCCGTAGGAGAACTGCTGGACCCTGGAACCTCCTGAAGGCCCTCCTCCGTGTCTTCGAGGGCGTCGTCCCTGGACAGCGAACTGGAAACGTCTTGGGTCGTGGTTTTCCATCGTCGTCGTTGTTCGTCGCTCGTCTTCGTTATCGCCGTCGCTGTCGCTGCCGTCGCCGTCGTCGACGACGTCGACGTCGCCAGCGTCGCTGCCCTCGTGGCAAGCGCGCGCGCGCGAGCAGGGGCGTCTGTCTCCAGCCACCCTTTCTTCCACCTCCTCCTCCTCCTCCTCCTCCTCCTCCTCCTCCTCCTTCTCGTCATCCTCCTCTTCATCCTCCTCCTCCTCCTCATCATCATCACCGTCATCAGTATAATCATCATCACCACCACAGCCATCATCATCACCATCATCACCACCACCGCCACCATCATAATTATCATCAGCAGCATCACCACAACCACCACCATCATCATCATCATCAGCAGCAGCATCATCATCAGCATCACCATTATCAGCATCATCATCATCAGCATCAACATCATTATCATCATCATCATCATCACCATCATCATCATCGTCATCATCATCAACATCATCATCGTCATCATCAGCATCTTCATCATCACCGTAATGAACATCATCAGCATCATCATCATTACTCATCATCAACAGCAGCATCATCATCACCGTCGTCATCATCATCATCACCATCATCATCATCATCATCATCATCATCATCACCATCACCATCACCATCACCATCACCATCACCACCATCATCATCAGCATCATCCAGTTTGCGTTGTGTCTCTTCGAAGCTAAGTTGTCTCCGGGGCACGGGACTTCATAGGGGGCCTCTTGGGAGCCTCGGAGGGCCTCTTCGGAGCCTTCTGAGAAGCGCCTCGGGGCCCCATAGGAGACGTCAGGGCGTTATTTTGAGGACTCCTGGACGCGTCTTTGGGGCCTCTTGCGGACTCTCTTACGCCATTGTGAAGCCACTTCGGAGCCGTTCTGATGCCTCGGAGGGCGATGAGGAAAGACAGTGGAGCATGGGCCCGGATCATCAATTTCCTTCGACTTTTTGGACAATTCTAGCCTTCGGAAGGCTTCTCGTGGCCTCTTGGGGGCCTCGTCGGGGCATCCTGGGGTCCCTTGGGGCTGATTTGGGGCGTGTTCGAGCCCCGCGGGGGCCTCTTTGGGGCATCATGGGGGCTCTTGGGAGCCTCCGGGAGCTTCGCGGGGCCTCTAGGGAGCGACCTGGGGGCCTCTTGGAGGGTCGTCTGGCCTCTCGGGTACTCGACGGGCGTCTTTAGGGCCTCTGGGGGATTCTCTTGGAGCTTTCTGGAGCCACTTCGGATCCTGGGAGAGTCATGAAGAGGAAAAGAACGAATAGTTCGTAGGCTTTTGAGAGACGTTGGCGTTCGGAAGGCTCTTGGGAGCATCTTGGGGACCTCTTGGGGCTTCTTCGGGGTTCTTGTGGCCTTTTGGCGCCTATACGTGGAGGGGGATTCTATACGTGGAGGGGGACAGGCCACGGCCTCGACGTCTTCGGGGGAGAAAGGAGAATCTGATTCATGCTGTGTACTTGTGGAGGAGAGGGGGTAGAGGAGCAACCTTCCGCGTCCTCTTTGTCTTCAGGGTCACCGTCTCGACGTCTTTCATGAACTGCACACGGGCGAGGCGGATGGCATGGAGGACTCGAGACAAGATGAGCACAAGAAGGAGAAGACGGAGGAGGGCTAATGCCAGGGCTTTTGGGACGGCTCACGACGCTCATTGCTTCATTCGGTGGCCGAGGCAGGACCGCCAAGGAGGGGCCAGCTGATGCGCCGCAGGCGTGGACCTGTGCACACCGCAGAAAACACGGCCTGCGTACACCGCGAGGCACGCGCGCACCGCGGGGCACCAAGAAGAGGACCCCGGTGCCCCGCCGCAGGCCTGCGTGCCCCCAGAGGCCTGTGTGTGTGCGCGCGCAGGACACGCTTACCACGCCATCCTGCGAAGTGTCCAGCTCCAGGGTCCGCTTGCCCCCGCCGTCTCGCTTGACGAAGCCAGGGGGAGAGGGGGACGGAGCGATACGGCCCGCAGTGGGAGTGCTTGAAAGAGACGCGGACACGTGCGGATGCAAGTGCACGGGGAACGCACGCTCCGCTCATCGGCGCCAGCGATCACTGCCCCCCTGCGTCGGCGGTCAGGCAAAAAAATCTGTGCTCCACGGAGCGAATCATGGCCTAAGCCAGTGACTAATGGAAATGATGACCCAACCCCGCGAATTGCACCGTCTGGTCGCGGATGCTGTGCGCGCCCAGTCTCCAACACACCACCGACTACTCCGCTAGGCACTTCCCGCATGGATGCAACAATTGTTTCACAACTCTTGCTCCTTTTTGTTCCGAGCTCCCGCGTGTACTACTCAGTAAGATCCAGACCTAACGTACCATGTCATAATGCACAACGCACGTTCCAGGTGCGTATGCGCTTACATGTGGCAACGCTTGCCGCACGCATACTGCATATACAGACACCCCATATCTACCACACAACTCAGCGACACAAGGTCCAAGTGTACACACACGTCCGCACTCCACCCAACCCCCTTGAATCTCCGTTTGATGCTCCCCTCCCCCTCGTGAACCACACTCCTGCCGAGTCTGGCGCCCTCCTCATCATCGTCCTCCCCCTGCTCCTTCCCTCAACCCTTTCTCCTCGTCCTCTTCGCTCTCTCTCCTTCCTCTCTCTTAGGCAAGCGGCGGAGCGAAAGCCCGCAGCGTCGGTATCGGCAGGTCGAAGCCCGCCGCCCCGTCGCGCCCGTAGTCAGGCAACACGCGCGAGAGACAACAGGGTGGATGGATAGGGGAGGCGCTCAGCCACAACTGCCAGCAGCAAGCCGATGATGGTGATCCGGCTGGCCCGCGAGGGACAAGCACAAGAGGGACGGAGAGCACCCTGCCGCGTCCCTCCCTCCCCCCCCCGGCGGACGTGCCCAGTGATCCCAGGGAGGCTCGGGCCCCGTCGGCGGCGTTGCGGCCCCCACGTTTTGGAGAATCGGGGGGGGGGGGCGCCTGGCCCCCTCCGCGTGTGGGTGGTCAGGACGACCTTTCCGCCGAGGCTGCGTCCAGGAGGAGGAGGAGGACGGCCACACGAAATGAGGCAGGTGCCGACGCCGCGGCTGCAGCCGCCCCCCCAACCCTTAGAGCGGCTGGGCGACGCGCGACACAAGACCTCAGGGCTACGGAGCTGAGCGCTCTGAGCCCCAGACCCGAAGGTCCTCCTGGGACTGCTCGGGCCAAGGAGCGGTGAGCGCGGGGGCGCGGTGAGGGAGGAGGGATGACGATGACGATAACGAGGACGATGCCGACGCCGATCACGATGACGATGACGATGCGCCGATCACGATGACGAAGACGATGACGACGAAAACGATGACGATGATGCCGGTGATAATGCTGATGTTATCTGATGTTGATGATGACGCGGGTGATGCAGATGATGATGGTGCTGATGATGATGATGATGATGATGATGATGATGATGATGATGATGATGATGACGCTGATGATGGTGATGATCATGCTGATGAGGATGATGCTGAAACGGATGATGATACTGTTGTTGATGATGATGATGGTGATGATGGTGGGAATGATTAGCAGGCTGATGCTGACGCTGATGGTGATGATGATGATGATGATGTTGAGGATGATGGAGATGCTGATGAAGGTGATACTGATGCTGATAATGATGATGCTGATGCTGATGATTATGGTGGTGATGTTGGTGATGATAATGATGCTGGTAATGTTGTAGATGGTCTTGATGCTGATGCTGATGGCGATGATAATGCTGATGATGATGCTGCTGATGATGATGCTGCTGCTGCTGATGATGATGATGATGATGCTGATGATGATGATGATGATGATGATGATGATGATGATGATGATGATGATGATGATGAGCGGCTTGAAGAGGGCGGCGAGCCTTGCCCAGATCCGTCTTCCGCAGGATGGTCGTCCTGAGGCGGCCGCAGCACCGATCCAGGCCCCCGGGGGGGGGAGAGCGTGACCATGCAGTGTGCCTCTTCCTCGCTCTGCTCGCTCGTCGCTCCTCGATGTCCTTCTCGCTCCTCGCTCCAACTCCCTCCTCCTCGTTTCTCGGTCTCCTCCTCGCTCCCGCTCCTCCACGCCCCTTGCTCTGGGAGCTTCTAGGAGGTCTCAGAGGCGACCCGCCCTCATCTTCCTCCTCCTTCTCCTCGTCCTCCCTCCCTGGACCTCCCGCAGGCCCGCATGGAATCCCCGAGCCACTATGGAAGATCGACAGACCATCCATTAGCAAAACGTTATTTGGTGAAGGCTGCCAGGGGCACTCCCCGTGCTCACGGCACCGCATCCCGAGTGCAACCCAGGGGGGTAGCTCATCGACCTCCCATAAAAAAAACCGTACTGGGGACTGCACCGTGCAGATTTCCTCGATCGACTTGTCTGGGTGGGCGTTCTCCCAATGCCCGACTCACCCCGCTGCAGCGGTATGATGACAATGATCTCATACTAGGACTGGCCCGGGATGCGTTCCAGGATGTCCAGAGCAGGCGGCCCTCGTTTGTGGAGCTGGTGCGGACCAATCGGACACCTGGACATCCGGCGCTCTGATTCTTTCGATGCGTGGCACCTATAGGGCCGCTTTTTCACCCCGAGTCGTTTCCTGATTGTCCCTGGGCCTGCTGTCGGGGGGGGGTGCTAGAGGTGCCCCTGGCCCTGGGTGCCAGCCGCGTTTGCATGATGTTTGAGCCCCTGGGCCCCCTGGGCCTCGTAGAGAGTGCTCTGGAGGTCGTGTGGCCTCCTCGGGCATCCTGGGGGCACCTTGGGCCAGCGGCACGCCAAACAGCACCCGACCGTCGAGGGCACTCGGAGGCTGAACGTGGCCCATCACCAGCCGCTCCTCTCTTCCTCCGGCGCCTCGGACCTCCGGCCACGCTGCCGCAGGGCGCGCGGGCGCGGTCTTCAGGCTCGTGCCCGCGGCGTAGGCCTTGAAGATGCGGGCGGCCTTCTCGTTCACGTCGCCGTCGGTCAGCGTGCCCGACACCAGCAGGCCCGTGGCCTCGGCGTCGCTCGCGCCGTCGGCCTCCGAGGCCTCCGGGGCCGCCCTCCGCGCGACGGCGATGCTCGGGGCCCCGCCCTCGCTGGACTCCGAGGCCTCGAAGTCCGGCAGCCTGTCCGCCGCCTGGCGCACGGCGCCTCCGCCTCCTCCGCCTCCGCCTCCGCCTCCTCCGCCTCCTCCTCCTCCTCCTCCTCCTCCTCCTCCTCCTCCTCCTCCTCCTCCTCCTCCTATGGGATAGGGGGGCGAGGCGGCGGCGTGCGAGGGCGGGCGGGCGCATAGGGGGGATGAGAGAGCAGGGGGGAATGGGAGGGGGGCGGGGAGAGGGGGCGAGGAGGGGGGAGAACGGAGAGCGGGAAAGGGAGAAGCTAGGTGCACTCGCGCTTATGTCTGACTTCCTGCCCCTCACACCCATCCCATCCCATGGCGATGATTTTCCCCTGTCCGCCGACGCGTGTCATGGCGCACCCGAAACTCCAAAACGTACCCCTATCGTGTCATGCGCAATGGGTACATGGGAGCTGCGTGCGCGAGTGGTGAGCAGGAGGATGACAAGGAGGAAAAGGAGAAGGAGGAGGAGAAGGAGGAGGAGGAGGAGGAGGAGAAAGAGCAATGAGGACGAGGACTAAAAGCAGCAGCAACATCTGCAGCGGGAGCAGGAGCGGAAGGAGCGGGAGGAGAAGGATGGCCAGGAAAAGGTGGAGGAGGGGAAGTGAGGGGAGGCGACAACGTTACAGAAGGAATCGGATCCAGAAAGATTGTCCGCGCTGAGGCGAGAGCGCAATTACGAACGACGGGAACCGAGCACAGATCCTAAAGTGAGGCCCACGCTGCAACTGGAACGCAGTTAACTGGAACGCAGTTTTGAACACTGAGAACGCTCCCATTGGAAACACCAGCCGTATGACATTAATAGCATCCTGTAAAAAAAGAACAACACGCGGAGACGGCGTAGCGTCTTCCAGACAGAGTCTGGGCAGAGAAACTAATAGTAATCACTCACATTGAGTATATATTGAGTTAGGGATGGGGGGAATGGGAGATAAAGATCGGGAGGAGAGGATGGACGAGGACGATCGTATCTGACTGGCAAAACCTTGCTGATTCTACCATTCGAGGGCAATGGCGGAAGCGAAAGCCACAGCATTCGATATGCCGCTCTCTGGAGCGGACACGCGTGAAGGAGGAGGAGCAGGAGGAGGAGGAGGAGGAAGAGGAGGAGGAGGAGAAGGAGGAAGGAGTAGAAGTAGGAGAAGACAGAGCGAGACCAAGGGGTGAGCCAAGTGGAGCTTGGACGGCGGAGAAGCCTACCTGTAGCAGGCGAGCCCACGCGCAAGACTATGATTCGAGGAATCGACTCACCAGAGACATCACATTTGCGTGCCCTTCTGTACAATACTCCTGGTACCGTGTGCAACAAGCCTGCTGGACGTCGCGACGCACCCTCGTCGACGAGGGAGCAAAGGCGGAGTGGGAGGAGTAGAAGAGGGGGGACAAGGAGAAGACCACGGGGAAGTCAGAGGGCTGCGACAACTCCTCCTGCGTAGAGTGAACGGCAGCCTACGGCCGCGGCCGCTGCGGCACCTGCACACACGACGAGCCGAAATCCGAAGGCCAGGGCGGCTCCGGGGGCCGCCCGACCGCCGCGTCCTGGAGACCTGCGCTCCACCGAGTGTCGCCAGTTCCATCGAGCCGGAGAGCCCACACTACGGGCCCAGGGGGGCTGCCGTTGGAGGCCGAACGGCATGGATCTGCCCCGTGTGGGGGCCTCTCCTGGGGCCCCAGGGGCTGCCCCCCGAGACCTCCGGGGCTGCAGCCCTGCGTCAAGCACTGCCTGGGTCCTGAGCTCCAGGGCCGGACCCCGCTCCTCCGCCCGTCCTGCTTCTGCCTTTTTCCTCGGCTCGCGCACGGAGTGGGGACACGGGCGGTCTTAAGCTCCCCTCTGCTGTGCACGCTGCTGCACGCTGCGCTCAAAAAGAAAACCCCCGAGCCTTGAGCCTCCGTCCGTCCTCCTTCCCCGACATTGCGAGAGCGAGCCCTCTCCCTCCTCCCCTTCTTTTCCCCTCGGGGGAAGGCTGTGCACCGTCGCGTGTGCAGCCCTCGGCGCTGGCTGCGTGCGCCCGCGGGCGCTCGCGAGTGCGGGGGAACGCGCAGCAGGGGTCGCCATGCGATGGCGTGCACAGCAGAAACATCGAGCAGGATGGAAGGCAGGAGGACGAGGAGAACCACGTGCCAAATGCACGGATCGCGCACCGCTTTGAAAGGAAACCATGGCCGTAACAACTGGCTGGGACCAAGGGCTGGAACAACCTCAGGAGGACTTGCCAAGGCCGGGAAGAATGGAATGAAGGGCTGGCCCTGGCCACTTTTCCCAGCTTCTCTGTTCACACTGCCAGGCGTAAGGGATCCCCTTTGGGGTTGCCCGCGCGAGCAACGAAAAAAAACGCCAGCGTCTGGCGTCGATCGGCCCAGGCGTATGCCGCCGTCATGAACAAACGCAGGCCCCAGCGGCTCGCCTCCAGCCCGGCCTCGCAGGTCAGCGCCGGGAGCCTGCCACCGCGGCCGACCGGATGAGCTGCGTGTCCGTCGTGCGATTGAGCCCCGTCTCCGTCCGGTTGAGCCTGCTCGAGCTGCCCCCCTTGGCGGCGCGCACAAGAGGGGGTGGGACGAAGGAGGGGGAGGGGGGCTTCCAAGAAGACAAGGGGGTAGCCTGCTCAGAAGCCCCCTCCCCTGCTCAAGGACCTTCTTCTTTCACGCTCGGCACCCTCATGCGGAGCACACTGCCCCCTCGGAAGAGCGCCCCGCCCCCCTCTTGAGCCACTCTTGGGCTGTCTGGGTCCCCCCCGCGCCACATGCCACGTGCGCGCATGCCTGCGCGCCCGCATGCCATCACACACGCACGCTTGCACACACCTGCAGGCTCGGGCACGGGCTTTACCCCGCGTCTGCGCGCACGCCGAGATCTCCTTCGGGGGGCTCCTCAGCTGCGCCAGCGCCTCCTCGCCCCGGGCGATGCGCGCCCGTTCCACGCCGCAGCTCATGGCCGCGGCCAGGGCGGCCTCCAGCGCGGCGGGCTCCTGGGGAAACCGGATGGTGCCCACACCGCTACTCCCTGGACCTCTCTCGGGTGCGCTCTGGCCAGAATTTCGTGGCTCGACGAGGCCCCTCCCCCCGACCCCAAGAAGGCGAACAAAGCAGAGAGGTTAGCGCTGCAGCGGTACCGCTTTTCCCCCCGGGAGCTCTCTGACCCGGACCGCGTCGCTCAGCGCCGTGCGGGCGTCGACCTGCTCCACCAGCAGCCTCGCTGGGCTCACCGCCTGCTCCTCGACGCCGGCGGCGGCGGCGCGCTCCACGGCCTCCCGCAGCCTGCCCACGTCGCCCCTCTTCGCCGCGGCGTTGAGCTGCCACAGCGCCTCCATCTCCGCCAGCACCCTCTCGGCCTGGGCGATCGCCGAGGCGTACCTCGAGCCGTGGGCCTTGGCCGCGGTGATGGTGAGCTTCAGGGCGCCCGTCTCCCTGAAGGATATCGCCCGCCACAGCCGCTGCTCGGTCTCGTCCATGGCCTCCTCCGGGTCGCCCGCCTCGTCGAGCCCGAAGGTCGGGTGCCGAGTCGGGCTCCGGGCTCTCCCCGCCTGGCTCCCGGTCGGGCTCCGAGCCAGCCCCGTCGGGCTCCGAGGCAGGCCCCGCGAGCCGCCGCCTTCTCCGCGGCCGTCGCCCTCGAGGCTGGCCAGCAGTTGTCTGGCCTCAGCCACGACCTCCGAGCCACTGCATGGCACCCTCTGGAGGGCCTCCTGGATCCTGGGCGCCTGCCCGCTCCTCATCGCCGCCTGGAAGCCACGGGTCGCCTCCAGCTCCGCGAGCTTCTGCTCCGCAGTCGCCAGGGCCTGGCCCTCCAGGCCGTGGCTGCGGGCCACCTGGATGGCGACTTTGATGGCCCCGCTCTCGGCTCTCTCCGTGGCCGCGATCAGCAGCACTTCCGCGTCCAGCTGCTTCAGGAACTCGGTGAACTCCTCCACCTGCTTGCTGGTCAGCCCCGCCGCCTTCGCCCTCGAGAGGGCGTGGCGCATCTGCTCCGCGCTGCGGCTCCGCCTGACCTCCTCGAGCAGGTCCATGGCCAGCAGCCGCCGCAGGACCCTCGTAGCCTCTGACACCGTCTTCTTGTCCACCCCGGCAGCCTTGGCTTGACCCATGGCGCTGATGATCCGATCGCGATCCCTGCACGCCACCGCGGACTGCAACTCCTCCGCGGCCTCCTCGCGACGGGCCTGTCGCGCTCCCTGAACTTCCTTGACCACGCCCTTCGTGGCCTTCTTCCACAAGCCGCTGACCTCAACGGCGAGCTTCGATGACCTGCGTCTCGGCACCAACGGCCCCCCCTCCACGCTGGCCGCTACTGGCGACTTGTGGGCATGCACCGCCGGTGCGGCGGCAGCGACCTCCTCGGCCACCAGAGGGCGCGCTCGCGGCCGGGGCTCGAGCGCGTCCACCGGGGCCGCCGCGGCCTGGTGGCGCAGGGCGGCGGGGCGAGCTGCGGGCAGCTGGCCCAGGCCCGGCGCGGCGGCTTCCGCAGCCGGTGCGGCACCGACCCCGCCGGCCACCAGAGGGTGCGCTCGCAGGCGGGGCTCGGGCGCGTCCCTCGGGGCCGCCGCGGCCTGGTGGCGCAGGGCGGCGGGGCGCGCCGCGGGCAGCGCGGCAGGCGGCTGCCCCGCGCTGGCCACGCGGCCGCCGCGCGGGCTGGGCGGCAGCGCCGAGGGCAGGTACGCCCGGGCCGACTCGGGCGCCCCCAGAGCTAGCTCTGGCAGGGAGGGCCCCCGGACCACGGAGAGCCCGAGGAGGTCTGCTGCTCGGGGCTCCCGCGCGGCCGGCAGGGGCCTGGGGGCCGCGCGGGCCTGCGGACGGCTGCCCGGCTGGTGGGTCGCGCCCGCTGGCGAGCCCACCGGGCGGCTGCCGCAGTGGTCGAGCCCAAGGGCGCCGAGGTTCACCAGCGAGTAGTGGCCCAGCCGGGTCGAGCCCGGCGCCCCGTCGAGGATCAGCGGCCCGCCCCTGGGAAGCGTGAGCGTGCCCGTTGACGCCCGCCTCTTGACTCCCGTGAGGCCCCTGCTGCCGAGGCGGAGGTCGCACGCCCCACTCGGCAGGGGCAGGTCACCGAAGGGCCTGCCCTCGCCAAGAGGCCCTGTGAAGGTGGACGCGGCAGCGGTCGCCAGCGGCCGCCGGCTTCCCTTCTTCAGCGGTCCGTGCGGCTTAAGCGTCAATCTGCCCCAGCTCGGTAGGGGCAGGTCGTGGAAGGGACTCTGCTCGCCCAAGGACCCAGCGAAGGTGGCCGAGGCGGCGTCCGCAAACAGCCACGGGCTTCCTTTATCCAGCGGGCTGGGCATCTCAGGCGTCGCGCTGCGAAAATGCCGTGGCCATGGGGCAGGGCTCGCCGACTGGCGGTGAGTCCCGAGCGCCCCACGCGCCAGCCCGTTGAGCCGCTTGAGCCCACATAGGAAATTACAGGTGAGGCGGCAAGGGGACTAACGTCAACCCATCACAGGTCACCGACGATGGGATACACCTTGGCGTTCCAAATCCTCCCCACATGCATTCAGTAATGCGATGCTCTTCCAAAGAAGACTCTGCTGTGCAACTCTTTGGGGCCAACGTGAGGACCCTGAGCTTGCTGCTTGAAGCGTGCAACCGGAGACCGAAGACACACGAAGCCCGAGAGGGAAACAAAATGATAAAGAAGAGTAGAAGGGATGAAGCCCTGCGGCCCGTCAAGCGGGAATCACCTCGTTCCCCACCTCCGTAACGCAACGTTTTTTTTGACACAACCGCTGGAGGCAGACAGGGGAAGAGGGGACCCAGAGGAGAGATGGGGTTACGAAGGAGAAACCAAGGCAGAAAAGAGGTCACACAAGAAATTTGCGCGCGTGCCCTTCAACGGCTGGTGCTGGTTGGAACCGCGCGTGTGACCAGCGCAATCGGGGAGGAGAGCAGTAAGCGACGAGGAGGACACGAAGGAGGAGGACGGGCAACAAGGACAGCAGAACGCCGCGATGCCGATGCAGAGGAGCCAAGGCTGCGAGCGGCTCCGAGCGGCCAGCCCACAGCGCCGTAGTCTGAAACATGTTGTTCAAATCAAAGACCTTAAAACTAACGACAAGTGATCAATGTACGTGTCGAGACCTTCAACCGGGCATGGTGAGAGATGTCTAGCTCGGAGCCACGAGTCTGCGATGATTCCCGAACCCGTCTCTCTCTCTCTCTCTCTCTCTCTCTACACACACACCAACCTTACCTGCCTTACCGTATGAAGCACCAACATGCTCCCTCGGCACGAACGTGGATCGAGGTAGTCTCTGGGGGGCTCCCAGTGCGTGTCTGCATGGTGCTGCTCTTCCCTGATCAGGGCAAACCACCTGGCGATAGGTTGCGGATGCGCTGGTGGGGATAAGCGATGGGTCACACATGTTCAAGCTGAATCGTGTTTGATGGCCCTGGGGCCCTGGGAAAATCCCAGAAGGCCGACAACGGCGCAAATCAGAAACCACTCCCCCTCAAGATTCATTCTGATCACGTGTGTCTTCCTCCTACGACCGCGCCCACTGGGCTCGCTGCGGCTTCAAACAGGGCTGGATTGGTGACAACCCATGACCCTGACACGGGTTCGGGACCTGTGCTGCTCATCAACCGCCTGGCGCTTCTAATTCACGGGCTCGAGACGTGGGGCCGCCAGAATCGTCAAAACCGGGCTGCCATGACACAACAGATTGCCTGGGGAGGTTTCACTGGCAGGGGGTGTTTCCTAATATGCGAAGAGATGGTGGCACCAACAACACGATCACGCACCGCGCCGAGTGATGTATGCAAAAGGTGAATGTCTACACAATCGGGGTGAGAGCCGATTTCGAAAACCTCACGCCCTCGGTTTGGAACCGCTCTTGCAGTTGCAGGAGGCTCTCACGTTCAAGGCCCTCTATTGTGTAGAAGTAGTCCATGCATGTAGGCGTTGAAACTTGTACGACATGTCCTGGGAAACAGACTATGATGTCGCATGGGGGCCATGCAGCGGTCTCTTCGCACTGTAAATGTGTTAGCCAGCGTGGGCTCCAAACAGTGGGTTGCTGCACCGTAGAGGCGAACTAGATGGTGAATGCTACGTGGTACAAGATGTCGCGTACGCTATGTGGTGCAAGCTGTGGAAATGAGTGTAAGCTGTGGAAATGAGCGCTGTGCGGTGTAAGCCATGTCGTGTAAGATAAGCGGTTTGAGCTGGAGGTGAACCCTCTGAGGTGTAAGTGGCTACCCTGCACCGCGCTTGACCACCTCCACTGCTCGCGCAAACATCTCACCCACCCACCCGCAACTTGGTTTGCAAATCTCTTAAGACTGTGACGGTGGGTACCGAATGGCACTTGGCAACGACAGCGACGCCGACGACAACAGCGACAACGACGAGGACGACGACGCCGCCGACAACGACTACGACGACGCCGACGTCGTCTCCAACGACTTCGACGACGCCGACAACGACGACGACGACGACGACGACGACGACGACGACGACGATGACACCGACGACGACGACGCCGACGCCGACGACGACGACGACGATGACAACGACGACGACGATGACGACGCCAACGACGACGACAACGACGACACCGAGGACGACGACGACGACGTCAACGACGCTGACGACGACGACGACGACGACGACGACGGCGACGGCGACGGCGACGGCGGCGGCGCCGACGTCGACGACAACGAAGACGGCGACGACGCCGACGCCGACGCCGACGACGACGACGAAGACGACGACGACGTCGCCAGCGAAGACGACGACGAGGGAGGAGGGAGGACGAAGACGGCGACAACGACGACAACGACGACAACGACGAGGGAGGAGGGAGGACGGCGACGACGCGAACGACGAAGAAGGAGGAAGGACGGCGACGCCGACGACGACAACGACGAGGGAGGAGGGAAGACGACGATGACAACGACGACAACGACGACGACGACGACGACGACGGCGACGAAATAGGAGGGACGACGACGAGACGCCGACGACGGACGACCACGACGACGAGGGAGGAGGAGGAAGGACGACCACGGCGACAACGACGACGGAAACGACCACGACACCAAAGAGGACGACGACGACGACGAACACGAGGAAAGACAGAGGACGACGTAGGCGACGACGACGACGACGCGGGAGGAGGGAGGACGGCGACGACGACGACGACGACGACGACGACGCGAGAGCGCGCGCGCCCGCTTTTGTTGAAAATCCGTGTTGCGAAACCTTGTAAGCTTGTAGGTTTTTTGGACACACGATTTTGAAATCCTTCCGAAATCGACGGGTTTTGAAGGATTTCGGCATACGCGCGCGACGACGCGCGCGTCTGCACTTCGTCCCATTTTTTGCAGAGGATTGTCGCGACGGCACACGCGCAAGGGCGTTCGACAGACTTCGACATGCGCGCGCGAAGCCCGTTTGGTAGCATTGTGTGGACATCTTGAAAAACCTACGCTTTTCTTCAGATTTCGCAAGAGCTCGCGCGTAAGCTTTTGTAGCGAATCAGTGTTGCGAAACCCTGTGTTTTTTGTATGTTTATTTGGAAACTCGATTGCGAAATCCTTCCGACACCGAAGGATTTGAAGGATTTCGGCATGCGCGCGCGACGAAGCGCGCGTGCGCACTTCGTCCAATTTTTCGCCAGGGAGTCGCGAAAAAGTTTTATGTTAGAGCAACAAATGTCCCCGCGTATTGTTTTTTACAAGGGAACCTCAGGGGGGCCGATCCCGGCCCCCCTGGGATAGTGTGAATTCATATTTAGGATGGACATGTGGCCAGAATCATATATGATTTTCATACCCGAAAGGGGGGCCGATAACGCCGGGGGGGGGATAGAGTCCATTCTCTTTTTAGAAAAGAGAACCTATGTTGAGTAAGCGAAGCTGTGAAAACGATGCGGTGTAAACTGTGTGGCTGCAATGGCGGCAACGCGGCGCAACCCCGGCGGACCCACCCAGCGCACGTGGCGCCCACGAGGTGGTACGGGCGGCAGCGCGGCGCAACCCCGGCGGACCCACCCAGAGCACGGGTCGCCCACGAGCGCCGATGAGGCTGCCATGGCGGCAGCGCGGCGCAACCTCGGTGGACCTCCCCAGCGCACAGGGCGCCCACATGCGACCACAATGCGGCAAGGGCGGCAGCGCGGCGCAACCCCGGCGGACCAACTCAGCGCACGCGGCGCCCACGAGCGCCTACGAGACGGCACGGGCGGCAACGTGGCGCAACCCCAGCGGACCCAGCCCACGAGCGCCCAAGAAGCGGCACCAGTGGCAACGTGGCGCAACCTCGGCGGACCCTCCCAGCGCAAGGGGCGCGCCCACGAGCGCCCAGGAGGCGTCACGGTGCGGCAATGTGGAAAAGCTTGGGTGTCCAATACTGAAAGAACCGAAGTATGAACCCCTCAATGCAAACACTGTTTTGGGGAACTAAGATTCAAGACCCATGATTTCCCGATCTAACGGGCGAAACTGCAACTCTTTCACTGCCCCACAAATCAACCGTGTACCTGTTTACGCGTTGATGGCCCATCGTTGCTTGTGAAAGAACCTCTTGCGAGACCACGCTTTTAGTAAGACGAAAATCAATAAATCGTGTAGTTGCTGGAATCTAAGGTTCAGAATCCACCAACGCGGGTTCACTTTCTGTGTCGGCCACGTGCTGGCTGTTCCGAGGCGCAGAAGATACTCGATACCCGAGTGCTCTTCCACTAGAACCGATGAGCGCGCTTCGCGCGCGCGCATCGGTTCTAGCCCAGGCACAGCAAGCGTCAAATCAAACAGTGGATGGCATAGCGTCCTCCCGCCCATCTCGGAAAACCCCTCACACAGATCGTGTCCCACAGGGAGCTTCGCCTACGGCCCACGAGACAATATTCGCATAGCGCCACACTCCTCACGCGGATCGTGACCCGCAAATAACTGCACTTGCAGCACCAGAGGGAAGATTCGCATTGCGTCGCCACGCTCACTCCAGCACACCGCTCGCACGGAGCGGACCCTGCATCGGTTTTCACCTGCGGCCCAGAGACAAAGTTCGCATCCCGCGCCTCCCCGCCTACTTCGGCACATCTCTCACACGGATCGTGCCCCACAGGGAGCTCCGCCGACGGCCCTGACGAGAGGTTTCAAGTAGCACCCCTTCAGCCCATTGCGGCACGCCCCTCACGCGGATCGTGCCTCACAGGGAGGACCAACCCCGGCCCCAGAGACGTGGCCAGGGCCCAGGGCGCCCCAACATATATCATATTTGTCCTCGTCGCCTTTCTAAGGGGGAGGGTCGTGAGGCCTGGCCAGAGGGAGGCGCGGCATCGTGGATAGCTCCAGACGGCTGCCGAAGGCTACCAATCCGCATCATGCTGCTCATGCTGCTGCTCACTTTCGCGTTCAACATCGACAACGCAACTCAACCAATCAAGCGCGAGGTCCCTGAGCTTGCTCCACAAAATCGATGCGTGCTCTTCTTCGTTTCACTCTCCTCCTCCTCCTCCTCCCTCTTCCTCCTCCTCTTCCTCCTCCTCCTCCTCCTTTTGCCGCCTGCGAAGTTCAACATTTAGGTATGCAAGGGTGGTCAGCAACTATCGCGCGTGACAGGCGTTTGGGGCAACCACGATGCCCACTAACAGCCCAAGTTCCTCACGAGCCAGATGGAGGGAGCGGGAGGAGGAGGGGCGAACCCGCGGGGCAAGAAGGACAAACCATGCTATTGCTAATTCTGTTGCACACCCACATCTTAAGAAAGCTCCTGTCCCTGATGCTGTTCCTCCTCCTCCTCCTCCTCCTCCCCCTGAACCTCCTCCTCCTCCTCCTCCTCCTCCTCTTCCTCCTCCTCCTCCTCATGTTGATCATCGTGCCTGTCCTGTTGTTCGAATTGCTCTTCCTTCTCCTCCTCAGACTTATCCTCCTTCCTGCGAACGTCCTCCTCCTCCTCCTCCTCCTACTTCCTCCTCATCCTCCTCCTCCTCCTCCTTCTCACACTGTTCCCTCTTATTCCCTTGGTGGTCCCTCCTCCTCCTCCCTCCCTCCTCCCTCCCCCTCCCCCCCGCCCCCTCCGTGCCTCCCCGCTCCCGCCGAAAGCTGGCCCCCCTCCCCACCGAGCCGAAGGCACGCCCCAGGGCGGCCGCGGCGGCGCGCCTGGCGCACGACGCTCAGGACGAGCGCCGGCAGGCCTGCGGGCACCGGGTGTCCGTGGCGGCAGCGGCAGGGGCCGGCGGGGCGAGGCGGGGCCCTGAATGTCGGGGAGCCCACAGTCGGCGGCGAGCGGGGGGGGGGGCAAGTGAGAAGGAGAAGGCACTCCCAAAAGGCGGCGGGACTTCTCAGGAACCCTCGCGCCGTCTGAGAAATGTGCTGCGCCTCTGGAGAAGGCTCAAGGCACTTCGCAGAAGTTCGGGGGACGCCCGAGCCTTCTGAGAAGGCCCGCCCCTGCTCACTTCCCCCCCGGGCTGGCCGCCGACACAAAGGACGTACGCGCCCAACAACGTGCATGAATACGGCCCCCCAGTCCGCGAGACCAGCCTCGTGATACAAACGTTCTTGCAGTGAGCACTTTCGAAAGACACAAAGATTCATGTACGTGTCGTGTCGGTCCTTCTTTCGCTCCTGAACTGTTGTGGGTCTGCCTCGCTCAGCGCGCATGTCGGCAATGAGCCCGGGGGGAAGTGAGAAGGGGCGGGCTTCTAAGAAGGGGGGGACCTGCTGAGAAGTGAGAAGGGGGGGAACTGAGAAGGGGGGGGAAGCGAGAAGGGGCGGGCCTTCACAGAGGGAGGAACGTGAGAAGGGGCGGGAACCTCTGCGAAGGCCGGAGGGCTTCTTAGAAGCCCTGCCGCCCTCTGAGAAGGCCTGCTCCTTCTCACTCCCCCCCCCTCCGGCACGCCGCCGACCCGAACCTGGACGTGCAGTGCTGTCGTAAACGCACTGACAGCCACGTGGGCCTGAGCCTGCCTCCCCAGCACACCCCGACGCACTTCGCGCTCTGCGGGCGCGCCAGCCGTCAGCGGCCCCCTCGGAGATGGACAGAGCCCCCTTTAGTAAAACGTGGTTTAGTGAAAACGACCTCTTGCCCAAACCTGGCGGGCGCAAGCCTGCAAAATGACGGCCGTGGCGCCCTCTCGAGAAGCGAAAACGGACAATTCACCAATCGACGTGTCACGGTGGGGGTTCTGCCCACCCCCGATCCCCATCCCTTCCCTCCTGGCCTTCCTCGCCGCTTTTGTGCCCGACCCGCTCAGCTCTGCAGCAGTCCTGCGGCAGCCATGACCGCAACTTGAACTCAAGGCGCCGCCGATCAAATTTCACGCTGCATGAACTGGCCCGACCCGCGCGCTCCCGCTTGCCTTGGCCTTGGCCGCGACGCCCCGCGCGTGGCCGCGACGCCAGAAAGCGTGTGTGTGTGTGTGAATGTGTGTGTGGTGTGTGGTGTGTGTGTGTGTGTGAGTGTGTGCGTGCGTGCGTGCGTGCGTGCGCGCGTGCGAGCGCGCGTGCGTTCGTGCGTGCGTGCGTGCGTGCGTGCGAGCGCGCGTGCGTGTGTGTGTGTTGTGCGTGCGTGCGTGCGTTTGCGTGTGCGTGTGCGTGTGCGTGTGCGTGTGCGTGTGCGTGTGCGTGTGTGTGTGTGCGTGTGTGCGTGTGTGTGTGTGCGTGTGCGTGTGCGTGTGCGTGTGCGTGTGCGTGTGCGTGTGCGTGTGCGTGTGCGTGTGCGTGTGCGTGTGCGTGTGCGTGTGCGTGTGCGTGTGCGTGTGCGTGTGCGTGTGTGTGTGTGTGTGTGTGTGTGAGCGTGTGGACGGGCTGTGGACCGAGAGGTGATGCGTCAGCTACACCGCAGGTGTTCGCTCCCCAGGCTCACTACCAGGCCCGCCGCCGCCACAACAGGGCTGGAGGTGGCCTTGCCCTCGCGCCGCCGCCTGCCCGCCTTGTCCTGCCCACGCGGCCCCACTGCCCTGTTATGACTATCCCATCCCAACTTCTGTGCCGTCGCTGGCGTGGACTTCCGCCGCCCTGGCCCCCGGTAGGTGCCTCTTCACGCCTGTTTGCTCCGTCCCGCATCGCCACGTCTTGCTCTGCATCGTTGGAGCTGCTCCCCCTCGCCCCCTCCACTGCGCCCTACTTGTCGGCCGCACGGCCTGCCACAACCACTTCCACTGTCCGTCGTCGGTTCCGTTTGTAGCCTTCCCTGCTCGTTCCCTCTCTGGGCAGCCCCCCGTGAGGTGCCCGCACAACGTGGTCCCCTGAAGTAAATACCCTGCGCTTCCCCGCCTGGTGCCGCGTGAGGTCCTGGCACGCTCCTCCGCTCTCTGCCTGCCTGGCTACGCCGCATTGCTGCGCGCGCGGACGCGACGCCATGAAGCGTGCGTGTGTGCGCACACGCGCGCGTGTGGACACACACGCGTGCGGCGAGGGCGCATGTGCGTGTGGTGCCTCTGACTCTCTAGGAGCTGTGAGGCTGCCAGCGCAGCGCGTGAAACGCTCCATGGTCTGAGCGCGTCCCTACCCCCTCTTCGCATCTCCCGGCCGCATTTATTCCTTTCAACAATGTCCACCTGTAACATGGCGCACTGGACTCGTCCGCGGCCCGGCCGTTGCTGCTCAACCCTTTGTGCTCCACGTCTTCGCTGAGGAAATATACACGGCCGAGGAAGCCTTCATACGTATTTCAACTCTCGTGTGGAGTTCGTAGTACCCTGCTCCTCAAACGCTCAACTATCAGGTTTACCAGTTTGACATCCAACGCAACATTGCTTGAACCTCATCCATCCTCCCCCTCTTCTTTCCTTCAGCGGGGCAATATGCGAGGTGTTCACCGTATACCGTGTCCTGGAACCGCAACGAGCTTCTCTCGTCGGGACGACTACTACTCCTACAAATACCATTAAGGACGCTGCAAAGTAGGACGACGAAGGATAACAAGACTAAGAGAAAGGGGAGGTGTGTGTCACTGCGCGCTCAGAGAACCCTCTGCGCACCCCCTCTGGTGTCGAGAAAGTGCCACGCCTGCCAAGCCTTGCGAGCGTGTCGCGGATAGTGGCCGCGCTCAGGGACCACCCCCTGCGAACCCCGTCTGGTGTGAAGACGATGCCACGCTTGCCACGCCTTGCGAGCGTGTCGCGGATAGAGGCCGCGCTCAGGGACCCCCCGCCCCCGTCTGGTGTCGAGCAAATGCTACGCCTGCCACGACTTGCGAGCGTGACATGGATAGAGGAGCATGCGTGACATGAATGTGTGTGTGTGGATGTCTGGACGCGTATGCATACCGAATGTGCCAGGAACTGTACGTGAACGTGTATCTGATGGATGCGTCTTATGTCTAATCTGTGTACGCATGCGCCCGAGTGTCTGTGTGCGTGTATGTGATGTGTGGGTGTTTGCGCGGGTGAGAAGGAGAGAGAGGAGGGAAGGAGAAGAAATGTGGGGAGGGATGAGGTGAACGCGGGCGCGACCCCAGTTGGGAGAAAACAGAAATCCAACTAAACACGTGGGGAACAAAAAAGTGACCCCACGAGCGAAAACTGTCCGTCCACGGCGTGAGGGGCGTGAGGCGAGCCCGCCAGCCGCCCGCAGGTGATGAGCACGAGAGGTGCAACCCCCCACCTTGCAACCCAACCCCTGGGGGGTGTGGCGAACGCGGCGAACGTTCAAGAGAAAGTTAGACAATCGGGTCTGGGTCCGCTGAATATTGAATTTGATGTCCCAAATTGAACAACTGTACGTAATCTCGAGGTTCAGATGGAGCCCAAAGTCCGGAATTGAAACTGTCAATCCCGTCGTCGCGAGATTGCAAGAACGAAGGTTTGAAAAATTCAATCAGAGATATCCCAGACTCAAAGCTTAAGGCATGGCAAGTTGAAAAAAGACTGGCACTTCCCAAATTGAGGAATTGAAAAACCTCAAGCAATCTTCAATGTTTCAAAATGGGAATTCTCACTCCGGAGCTCTGGGAGCGGCACCTCGGAGGCCAGAGTAACGAAGATCTCTCAGGCGAAACGGGCTGCAGCGCCCTGCGAGCGACATCGCGGAGCCCCGAGTTGCGAGGACGGGTCGGGCGAACCGGACCAGTGACCAGAGCGACTTGCGAGCGGCATCTCGGAGCTCAGAGTTGCGATGATGCCGCAGACGAAACGGGCCAGCGCGAGTTGCGAGCGACATTTCGGAGCTCAGAGTTGCGAGGATGCCGTAGAAGCCGTAGCGAAACCGTCTGGAGCGACTCGCGAGCAAACAGGCTGGAGCGACTCGCGAGCAGCATCTCGGGCACGAGATTTGCGAAGACGTCTCAAGCGAATCGGGCTGGAACATCTCGCAGACGGCGTCTCAAAATCAAAGGAGACGAGGCTGTCTCTAGCGAAACGGCCCGGAACGCCTCGCGGGTCTCAGCGGGCTTGCGGAGACGGTGGCACGGGCAGCGGGGGACGTCTTGGGCGATGTTTCCCCGGCCGTAAGGATGCCTACGGCCGGGAGAACAAAAACGTCGTGCTCCTCCTCCTCCTCCTCCTCCTCCTCCTCCTCCTCCTCCTCCCACCTCCCGCCTCCCAACTGCTGCTCTGCTTCCCCCGCCTCCTCATCCCACCTCCCACCTCCCACCTCCCACCTCCCACCTCCTGCTCCTCTTCGTCCTCATCCGCCACCGCCCGCCTCCCACCTCCCACATCCTCCTCACTCATCCCCCTCCTCTTCCTCCTCCCGCCTCCCGCTCCGCTTCTTCCTCAACTTCCATTCCCCCAAGCTCGCGTCGTCGTCGACACCGCAAGCGAGTATCTTCGCGCCCTCGCGAGCCCCCTTGGAGAGTGGCAGAGCTCCACTCCACCCCAGGCCGCGTCGAGCAAATCGGGATCATCTTTGCGCCCCCGGGGGCGACCTTGGTTTCGGGAGCAGGGAGGGCGGAAACGGGAATACAGGATACACAGGCGGTGGGCCGTGCAGTACCCGAGCGCGGCCTGCCAGAGGAGGAAGAGCGGAGCAGGAGGTGGAAAACGAGAGGTCGAAAAAGGAGGCAGGAGAAGCACGAAGGGTTTTGTTTCCTGGCCGTCGCACCCTTACCGCCAGGAAAGAACCCGCCCCACGTGCTCCCCTGCCGGACTTGCCTCGCACGGTCGCCACGCCACATCGCACGAGAATGCTCAGGGCCTCACACCTTAATGAACCCGCCCGCCAAAATCGCCTCGCCCGTTCGCCACGGCAAGGCCAATCAGAAACGACAGGACCCAGGTCTGAATTGTAGTTTTACGATTCCGGCCGCCTGGCCCGCTCTGCCCATCCACCTCGCCTCCACTCGAGCAGACTCGGGAGGGCTCTCCACTACCACGTAAAACGAAAACAGAATCGAGACAAAACCAGACAGATGCAAATCGGAAATCTCTATGAATCGGCGGATTTGAAGGCAGTGCCGGGCGCCACGGACGTTTCAGAGCGATCTGGAACGCTCTGAGAGCGTTCCTGAGCACCCTGGAACGGATTTATCTCGATTCGGGGCCTGCCCGACCACGTCCCGCCTGCCACGCCGGCCGCTCGCCCCAACCAACTCGACTGGACTTGATGGGGCCCCACACTCTAGAAGACCGCCCGCCCGACTCGCGGGTGCCCCGCGGGGTTCGCCCGCCTGAATGGCCCGTCGAGGTCGTGAGAAAGAGAGAAGGAACAGATACCTCCATGGACGTCTGGGCGTGGGGAGGAGTTTGGGGGGAGAGGGGAGAGGCAGAAGGAGGGGAGGGGAACGGAAGGGAGTCGATGGGGAGAAGAAGGGGTTAGTGGCCCGGCCCCTGGCTAGGGGGATCTTAACGCCTCAAACCGACCAGGTGGTCTTCATGGCGGTCCCGCGAGGTCTCACTGCAGGGAGGGGCACGGGGGGAAGGGGGAAACGACACGGCGCTGCAGATTTCTCAGACAACTGCTCCAAACCTCGACTGGGCATCGTCTCAAGATAGGTCGGCTTGTCCCCAATACACAGAAAGCTTTGAGAATGTTCGGGGTCCCGCCCCACACGGCCAGGGATTGTACACTCGCCGATCCGACTCGCCCGCCCGCGATGCCCCAGTTGACAACGATCGACAACGCCCAGCCCTCGAATAGGGCGCCGGGGCAGGCCCGCCCCGCCCATCCGCCCCTGCCCTGCCTGGTCAGAGGCAAGAGGGCCTCACGTTCTGATGGCTCCCCCGCCTGGCCTCCCTGCCGGTGCAGGGCTGCAAACCTGAGAATTGAAGCGGGCCCTTCGGACCTCTGCGGATTGAAGAATTGAAGCAACCCAGCTCTTTTTGAACGTTGGAATTCGTGCTCCCAGGATTGAGAACTCGGCAGTTTCTTCAATACGGGATATTCTAAAATCGGAGGTTGGGGGGTGAGATCGCAGTGGAACGGATACCCCCAAGCGGGAAATCGTTTCGTTTCGTTCGTGTCGTGCATGCGGGAGAGATGAAGCTGCATGGACGCGCGAGAGGAATGAACCCGCCGTTGCGAGGGCGAAATCAAAACAAATTAATTATCCTCCGTCCGGCGGTGGCCCAAGCGGTGTCCCCTGGTGTCTCGTGGTGTCCCGTGGTGTCCGACGTTGCTAGGGCGAAGTCGAGACAAATGATTATCCTCCGTTCAACGGTGACCCTAGCGGTGTCCCGTGGTGTCCCGTGGTGGCCCGTGGAGTCACGTGGTGTCCCGTTGAGTGAGATCGATAGTGAGATCGATACTGAGATCAATGCGGTGCCCCGAGGTGCCCCGTGGTGTCCCGTTGAGTGAGATCGATAGTGAGATCGATAACGAGATCGATGGTGAGATCGATGTGGTGCCCCAAGATGTCCTATGGTGTTCCGTGTTGTCCCGCCGAGTGAGGTCGATGGTGACATCGATACTGAGATCAATGTGGTGTCCCGAGGTGTCCCGTGGTGTCCCGTTGAGAGAGAACGATAAGGAGATCGATGATGCGATCGATAGTGAGATCGATGTGGTGTCCCGTAGTGTCCCGTGGTGTCCCGTTGAGTGAGATCGATAGTGAGATCGATAGTCGTGAGATCGACAGGTGTCCCGTGGTGTCCCGTAGTGCCCCGTGGTGTCCCGTTGAGTGAGATCGATAGTGAGATCGATAGTGAGATCGATGGTGAGATCGATGTGGTGCCCCAAGATGTCCTATGGTGTTCCGTGTTGTCCCGCCGAGTGAGGTCGATGGTGACATCGATACTGAGATCAATGTGGTGTCCCGAGGTGTCCCGTGGTGTCCCGTTGAGAGAGAACGATAAGGAGATCGATGATGCGATCGATAGTGAGATCGATGTGGTGTCCCGTAGTGTCCCGTGGTGTCCCGTTGAGTGAGATCGATAGTGAGATCGATAGTCGTGAGATCGACAGGTGTCCCGTGGTGTCCCGTAGTGCCCCGTGGTGTCCCGTTGAGTGAGATCGATAGTGAGATCGATACTGAGATCGATGTGGTGTCCCGAGGTGTCCCGTGGTGTCCCATGGTGTCCCGTTGAGTGAGATCGATAGTGAGATCGATAGTGAGACCGAGAATGAGATCGAGAGGTGTCCCGCATTGTCCCGTGGTGTCCCGTGGTGGCCCGAGTTGTCCCGTGGTGCCCCGTTGAGTGAGATAGATGGTGAGATCGATCGACAAGTCAACCTCCTTATCACCCGAAGGGTGGTCGTATAGGTAAATTATACGATCTTCATTTTTTTTCAACCCAGGAGGTCCCAGACTGCTCTTTCTCATGCTAATATTCAGATTACTACTCGTACTTAGTTCGTTGGTCTTTCAATGTCTCAATCCTGGTCGAGGCCCCTAATCCAACCACTAACAGAACAGCCTTGCCCGAACACGATGTGCAAAGTACACAAATGCCCACACTTTTGCGGTCGCGGCCTCGCGCGCACGACTCGGCAACCGCCTCACGCCGGGAGGCCGGGCGCCGCGTCCAGGCCTCCCGCGGCGCCTGCGATCAGCTCCGCGCTGCCCCGCAATCACCCCGCCGTGGGCGATCGCGGACTCCCGCCGGCGCAGCGCGCGGAGCTCTCCAACCACTGCCCCCCCCCCCCGCCTCCGGACTCCAGGCGTGAGCGTACCATCGACTCGTCTCGTCGCTTCTGTGGCGTCTGTGGCCTCGGCGGCTCTATAGGCGCTTCTCCGACTTCCTCCCCCGCGTCGCTGCGCGCGTGGCTGCGACGCCAATCGTACATGTGCATGTACATATGCGTATACACATATATGTATATGTGCGTGTGTGAGTGTGTGTGTGTGTGCTTGTCTGTGTGTGCGCGGGTTGCCTCCTCTTACACAACTTTTCACGGCTGCTGGCTGTTCGCTCGCTTTCCTCTGCCCCTCTCCCTCGCCGGCTGGGCGTTTTCGTTTGTACCATCACGATGTTTAACATTACGTGCGCCAGGCTTTGCTGCTCAGCGATCGGCTATGCCCTTTCCTCACTGGGAGCTATGCTTACGTAAACACATCGGGTGACAAGTTGACGTTGAACATGTCCCGTTGATAATTGAAATTGCTCCGCTGATTGCAATCCCTCGGGGCGCTGAAGAAACAGTGCTTGCGCGGGGTGGGAGAGACAGGGAGTGGCACAGGGCGAGATAGGCAGAAGCGGCGTCCGGGGCCTGGTCCGACAAAGGACAGCATCGCGCAGTCACCTCGCGGTCGCTGGATCCTGGCCTTCCTCCAACTCCTGGTGCCCCTGTCCTGCGTCTGCTGCTGCTGCTGATGTTGCTGCTGATGTTCCTGCTCCTCCCCCTCTCACTTCTGCCTTTCCCATCGGGCACGTCCTGCTCTCTTCCTGCTGTCTTCGTGCTGCTCCTGCTCCGCTGCGTATGTCTCATCCTCCTTCGTGTGCTCATCCTCTCTCCCCATCCCTCCTATCCCTCCTCTCCCTCCTCTCCCTTTTCATTCTCATCTGCATGATAATTGCCGCCGCCCTCCTCCTGCTTATCCACATCCTCTCCTTCCTTCTTCTCCCCATCGCCGCCCTTAACGTACAGCCTTCCTCCTCCCTGCTCCCCGTCCGCCTTCATCCATGTTCCTCCGGCTCATCCGGTTCCTCTTCGCCTTCTTCTTCTTGTTATTGTTATTATCATTTAATCGCTTCGCTCGTTCCGCCGGCCCGTATTGGTGCACGGCTGTCGTGGGGCCCTCGTGGGCGGTCTCGGGGCTCTCTTGGAGGTTTCTTGGGCCGTCTTGGGGTGGTCCTGGAGGCTTTTTGTCTCCATGTTGGGCCCATCTTGGGCCCCTTTGGGGGTCCTCTTGGACCGTCTTGGGCGCTTCTTGGGCTGTCGTGGGGCCTTCTTGGGCGGTCTTGGGGCTCTCTTGGAGGCCTCTTGGGCCGTCTTGGGGTGGTCTTGGAGGCTTCTTGGGCGGCCTTGGAGCGTCGGAGAGGCGAAAAGGCGAGGAGGCAAACAACCTTGCAAAACCCAAAGGAAATCAATGGTTTGGGCGCTCTGAGGCTTCGTGGACGTTCATTGGGATCTGGTGGGATGCCTCTCGAGGGTGTTCTTGGAGACTCTCGGGAGTCGCTTTCGAGCCTCTTGGGGTCTCTTTCGGGCCCCTTGTCGCTTGTTGGGGCCTCTTAGGAGGCTCTTGGGGCTTCCAGGAGGCCTCTTGGAGCTGAAGGCTTGGATTTTCGGTTCGTGGTCTCCATCTTGGGCCTCTCTTGGGGCCCTCTTGGGGTCCTTTTGGACCGTCTTGGGCGCCTCCTGGGCTGTCGTGGGGCTCTCTTGGACGGTCGTGGGCCTCTCCTGGAGGCTTCTACTTGTTATTGTTATTACCAGTATTGTTAGTATCGTGTTTCTTTGTCTTTCTCCTCCTCCTCCTCATGATAATCGTCCTCTGCCCTCTCCTCATAATCCGCCCGATCCGTCTACCCCCCTCCAAGATCCGCCACATCGGGCTTACTCCAAACGGGTCGGTGCGAAGGCCATGCGTTGCGGGCCAGGGCGGTATCTTTCCCAGATAGGATTCGCGCAGTAACAAGAAGCGCTGCTCTGACTTCTTCAAAATTCTGGAGCAAGCTTTCAAGAGAGGGCGTGGGGATTGGTGAGCATCTGTCGCGAACTGTGCGCATCTTGGGATTGGTGGCTTGGGGACTGGTGGGCATCTTGGGATTGGGGAGGGTGCGTTTCCACTCGTGTGTCCTGCGCCTGGCGACTGCAACGACAGAGCGCCCCCGATTCTGGGAATTGCGGACGGTGCGGCCCGGCTCAATCGTACATCTCGCGCAGGACACAGGCGTCGACGAAGGCGAAGCTCGAGCGGCGGTGACGCCTCTCCGTCCGCGCCAAGGCAGCACCGGGGACCCTGCAGGGGGGCAATTCTGGGCGACCGCGCGAGCACGGTCCTCAGAATTCCGAGCGCTGGCAGCCGCACCAAGGAGGAGTCGAGCTCGCCACTTCCCCCATCGAGACACCGCGCGGGGACAAGGGAGAGAGGGAGGGGGTGGGGCAGGGAGGGGAGGCTGAGGGCACTCTTCTCCTCGCTCTCGCCCTCCTTCCCAGGATGGGCTCACAAAGAAAAGGGGAGCGATGAGAAAAGTGCAGACTGACAAAAGTGAAGACTGACACCCCTCGTTTTCTCCCGTGACACGCACCAGGAAAATCCAGAGGGTGCGCCTGTACGGCGTCGGCGCGTCAAGCATGCGACGTGCGCGAATCTGGAAGTACTGTCGCAACGCAATTCGCATGCTTGGCATTCCTTGGGAGGTCCAGTCATTTGTACACAGAAACCACGTCGGCTCGATGCAACTGTGTAGCGCCGTGGCGAACAAGGCCAGACCGTATAAGGACCCATGCAGAATCAACATGGTACTGGGTACCGGGGCCGCATCATTCCCGCCCAACCGAAGATGCAAAAAGGAGCTGCGGGCTTCGCGAGCGAATCATGCCACGACTGTTGTCATGCCCTACATAAGCGGCGTTTGATGTCACAGACTCGTCTGACGCCAAAACCTGATCAGCAACATCAGATTACGCAATTGACACCCTAGCTTGTCTAACCAGTGTTGCGCACCAGTCCCAATACACACAAAGGGAAAGAAGAGGGGAAGAGGAGGCGGAGTGAGAGGAGGAATGAACGAGTGAATGTCAATTGCAGCCCGCAATCTTCATATTCACCTGATAGGCCTCAAGAATAATAGAGCATACGGGACGGCATAGGTTGCAATAGTAGAGCAGCGATCCACGA